CTACCACCACAAAAACACACTTAAGTACACAGATCATTGACACTATAGAGCAAATACAAAAATCAAGTCTGCATAACAACAAGCTAACAACATGATGTCAGGACCTAATCCTCACATATCAATATTAACCTTGAACATAAGTGAGCTAAATACCCAAATTAAAAGGCATAGAGTGGCAATTTGGATAAAGAAACAAGACCCAACTGTATTTTATCTTCAACAGACCCATCTCACATGCAATTACACCTATAGTTTCAAAGCAGAGAGATGGAGATAGATCTATCAAGCAAATGGAAAGCAGGGGTTGCTATTCTTATTTCATACAAAACATATTTTAAAACAACAATGATCAAAAAGGACAAAGAAGGGAATTACATAATGATAGAGGGTTCAATTCAAGAAGAAGACTCAACTCTCTCATAAGTATATATGGATCAACACTGGAGCACCCAGATTCATAAAGCAAGTTCTTAGAGACTTACAAAGAAATTCAGATAACCACACAATAACAGTGAGAAACTTCAACACACCCCTGATGTATTGAACAGATCATCCAGGCATAATACTAACAAAGATATTCAGGACCTAAACTTGACACTTGAGCAAATGGATCTAACAGACATCTGTACAACCTTCCACTAAACAAAGTCAGAATACACATTCTCCTCATCAGCACATGGCACATACTATAAAATTGACCACATGCTTGACCGTAAAGCAAGTCTCAACACATTTTAAAAAAAGAAGAAAACAAATCATACCAACTACACTCTCAGCCCACAGCACAATAAAAATGGAAATCAATACCAAGAAGACCTCTCAAAACCATACGACTAAATGGAAATGAAATAATCTGCCACTGAATGACTTTTGAGTAAACAATGAAATTAAGGCAGAAATCAAGAAATTGTTTGAAATAAATGAAAACAAAGATACAGCATATCAGAATCTTTGGAACACAACTAAAGCAGTGTCAAGAGGAAAGTTTTCAGCACTAAATGCCCAAGTGAAATGGTTACATATATCTAACCAATTAGCAACCTAACACCACATCTAGAGGAACTTGAAAAACAAGCGCAAACCAACCCCAACGCTAGCAGAAGTAAAGAAGTAACCAAAATTAGAGCTGAACTGAACAAAATGGAGGTGAGAAAAAACATACAAAAGACTTTTTCAAAACCAAAAGTTGGTTTTCTGAAAGAATAAATAAGACTGATAGACCACTATCTGGAATCAGAAATGACGAAGGGGACATTACCACCAACCTCACAAAAATACAAAAGAAGAAAAAACCCTCAGAGACTATTATGAACACCTCTATGCCCACAAACTAGAAAACCTAGAAGAAATGAACAAATTCCTGGAAACATTTTATAAAACCTCCCAAGATTAAACCAGGAAGAAATTGAAACCCCAAACAGTTAAGTAATGAGTACTGAAATTGAATCAGTGGTAGGAAAACCCACCAATCAGAAGAAGTCCTGAACCATATGGATTCACAGCTGAATGCTACCAGATGTATAAAGAAGAGCTGGTACCAGTCCTACTAAAACTATTTCAAAAAATCAAGAAGGAAAGACTCCTCCCTAACTAATTTTATGAGGCCAGCATCATTCTGATACTAAAAATCTGGCAGAGACACAATGAAAAAAGAAAACTTCAGGACAATAGCCCTAATGAACATACATGCAAAAATCCTCAATAAAATACTAGCAAACCAATTCCAGCAGCACATCAAAAAGCTAATCCACTACAATCAAGTAGGTTTTATTCCTGGGATTAAAGATTGGTTCAACATTTGCAAATCAATAAATATGATGTATCACATAAACAGAACTAAAATAAAAACCGCATGATCATCTCAATAGATGCAGAGAAGGCTTTTGATAGAATTCAATATCCCTCCATGTTAAAAACCTTGAACAAGCTAAGCATCAAAGGTACATACCTCAAAATGGTAAGAGCCATCTATGACAAAACCACAGCCAACATCATACTAAATGGGCAAAAGCTGGAAGAACTAGAACAATACAAGATGCCCTCTCTCACCATTCCTCTTGAACACAGTACTGGAAGTCCTAGCCAGAGCAATAATGTGAGAGAAAGAAAAGACATCCAAATGGGAAGAGAGGAAGTCAAATTATCTCTGCAGAAGATGTGATTCTATATCTAGAAAATTCCATAGTCTTTGCTCAAAGGTTCCTAGATCTGATAAACAACTTCAGAAAGTTTCAGGATACAAAATCAATGTACAAAACCCAGCAGCATTTCTATACACCAGTAACATCAAAGATGAGAACCACATCAAGAATGCAATCCCATCACAATAGCTACAAAAGAATAAAATGCCTAGAAATAGAGCTAACCAACCACAGAGGTGAAAGATCTCTAAAAAGAGAAGTACAAAACACTGCTGAAAGAAGTCAGAGACAACACAAATGGAAAAATATTCCATGCTCATGGATAGGAAGAATTGATATTATTAAAATGACCATACTGTCCAAAGCAATTTACAGATTCAATGCTATTCCTATTAAACTATCAATGACATTTTTCACAGAACTAATAAAAACCACTCTAAAATTCATTTGGAATAAAAAAAGAACATGAATAGCCAAAGCAACCCCAAACAAAAAGAACAAACCAGGAAGCATCATATTACCTGATTTCAAACAATGCTACAAGGCTATATAGCATCAAACAATGCTACAAGGCTACAATGCTACAAGGCTATAGTATATCAAACAGCAAGATACTTGTACAGAAAGACACGTAGAACAATGGAACAGTTTAGAGAACCCAGAAATAATGCTGCAAACTTACAACTATCTGATCTTTGACAAAGCTGACAATAACAAGCAGTGAAGAAAGGACTTCCTATTCAATAAATGGTGCTGGGATAATTAGCTGGTCATATGCAGAAGATCAAAACTGTACTTCCAGCTTTCACCATGTAAAAAAAAAAAAAAACTCAAGATGAATTAAAACCTTAGATGTAACATGTAAAATATTAAAAACTCTAGAAGAAAACCAAGGAAACACCATTCTGAACATTGGCCCTGGGAAAGATTTCATGGCCAAGACTCCAAAAGCAGTTTCCACAAAAACAAAAATTGACAAGTGGGACCTAATTAAACTAAAGATCAGGGTTAAGAGGAAAGCTTCTTCTGCGCAGCAAAAGAAATTATCAGCAGAGTAAACAGACAACCTACAGAATGGGAGAAAATATTTACAAACTACAAACATCTAACAAACTTCTAATATCCGGAGTCTATAAGGAGTTTAAACAAATTAACGAGCAAAAACCAAACAACTCCTTTAAAAAGTGGCAAAGGATATGAATAGACACTTCTCAAAAGAAGACTTTTATATGGCCAACAAGTAAAAAAAGAAATGTTCAATATCACTAATCATTAGGGAAATGCAAATCAAAACCACAGTGAAATACCACCTCACGCAAGTCAGAATGGCTATTACTAAAAAAAGTGAAAAAATAACAGATGTTGGCAAGGTTGTAGAGAAAAAGGAACACTTATACGCTGCTAGTGGGAATGTATGTTAGTTGAGCTACTGTGGAAAACAGTCTGGAGATTTCTCAAAGACCTTAAAGTAGAATTACCCTTCAACCCAGCAATCCCATTACTGGGTATATACCCAAAGGAATATTAATTATTCTATCTTAAAAATATATGCATGCATTTGTTCATTGCAGCACTATTCACAATAGCAAAGACATAGAATCAACCTAGATACCCATCGATGGTGGGCTGGATAAAGAAAATGTGGTACATAGACACCATGGAATACTATGCAGCCATAAAAAAGAATGAGATCATGTCCTTTGCAGCAACATGGATGGAGCTGGAGACCATTATCCTAAGCAAATTAACACAGGAACAGAAAACCAAATACTGTATGTTCTCATTTAAATGTGGGAGTTAAACATTGAGCACACATAGACACAAAGAAAGGAACAATAGACACTAGGACCTACTTGAGGGTGGAGAGTGGGAGGAGGGTGAGAATTGAAAAACAACCTATTGGGTGTTATGCTGATTACCTGGGTGACAAAATTATCTGTACAGCAAACTCCCATAACATACAAATCAACTATAACCGTGGATGTATCTATTTCCCCTTGCAGCTCTGTTGGTTTTTGTTCATTTATTTTGATAAATAATGCTCTGTTATTGAGTGCATATACATTTAATATATTTATATATTTAATGAAGTGATAGAAGCCAGTTACATGGAGTAAGTATTGTGTGATTCCATTTTCATGAAGTTCCAGAATGGACGAAACTAATAGATAGTGATAGGGGTCATAAAAGTGATTGCTGGAAATGAGACATTGACTGGGAAAGAAAATGAGACAACTTGGAAGGATGATGAAAAGATTCCCTATCTTAAGTGGGGACATGGTTACAGTGTGTGTACATTTGCCCAAACTAATTTAACTGGACACTTAAAATGCGTGCTTTCTATTATAAAGTATGCCTCCTCCATAATGTCATAAAGTTGACATTAAGTAAACACTGTAGTTGATGTGAAAAATGCAATATAATGGTGATGAGCAGTAATGGCTTTGGGTTGATTTGGACTGTCTACTATAGGGCTTATATCTACCACATTCCTTGTACTTAATGCACCTGACACAGACTAAGTTTTGTTCATTTCTTTTTCTCAATAATCAATGCCATAAGAAAAGGCCAATATTCCAGGAAATATGATAATCTGATATATGAGGAGCATAAATACCTCCAACAAATTAACTGGAGTACATATTTCATCAGAACTATTAGATTCAGTTCCACATGTGACTATTTTAAATTATTGACATCAATACTTTTAAAATTATTACTGAATCAAAACTTTAAAATAGTCACATGTGGAACTGCAGGGAATGTCAGGTGTTAATGAAGAAATGCCTTAGGGTCCTTACGTAGGGCAGCATTCAAAAGGGGCAATGCTGAGTGGAAATTAAGGCCTCTATCACTCACCCTGGAGCCTGAGACCATGATGGGGTTCACATCGTCCATGTTTTGCACTGGCTCGGCTGCTTTCTTCCTTCTGGTCTTCACTCTGAGGGAACAGCACCAAACCTTTCAGCCAGGTTATTTGGAGCCTCTTTCCCCAAAAAAGAACCATCTCCCCACTCCCTGTGGAGAGTACAGAAGTAATGAAGAGGTCCAGGTGATCCCACAAGCCCAAGAGTTGAACCATGGTTTCAAAGAGACCTCATGCTTGGCTCAGCTGGTCAACGGGGTAATTCACACCACCACTACCCTCCCTTTCCTCACTCTCGACTTTCCCAAGCACCCCATTTTCCTCCACTTGGGTTTCTGAGATTCTGCCACCTGTGTGCCCTTCCCACATCACGTCTTTCTGTGCCTCCCTGGAGCCCACTCTCACCTGAAGATGAAGCCAACACAGAGGAAAACCAGGGCTGTGGTGCCAGCTCCCCAGACTGCTCCCAGGACACCACCAACCCCGCCTTCTGGTTTCCCTATAATTGGAATTTTGAGTGAACTCCAGTTCCACTTCCAGTACATCCTCCCAACAGCCATTCCTCTCCACCTTCCACTAATGTGACCACCCCCAATCCAGGACTCAGTCACTCACCATTTCACTGCCCTGTGAACCCGGAACCAGCCTCTTCTCTCTCCATGACTCCCCCTTCCCCCAACTGCAAGACTGAGGACGTTGCGTCCCCAGCCACTCTGGTCTGGGCCTTGGAAACGTCTTCTCCAAGCTTCATTTCTCTGGAGCAGTTAGGGTTAAATTATGTCTCCCCACAATTCCTATTTTGAAGTCCTAACCCCCAGCACCTGAAAGCGTGACCTGATTTGGAGAAGGGTCATAGCTGATGTAATTAGTTATAATGAGGTCATCCTGGATCAGGGTGAGCCCTAATCCAATATGACTACTGTCCTTATAAAAAGGGGAAAATGTGGGTTGGTTGCGGTGGTTCACACCTGTAATTCCATCACTTTGGGAGGCCGAGGCGGGCAGATCACGAGGTCAGGAGATTGAGACCATCCTGGCCAACATGGTGAAACCCGTCTCTACTCAAAATATAAAAATTAGCTGGGCATGGTGGTGAGCGCCTGTAGTCCCAGCTACTCAAGCGGCTGAGGCAGGAGAATCGCTTGAACCCGGGAGGTGGAGGTTGCATATGTCAGATTATCACATTGCAGTGAGCCAAGATCACACCATTGCATTCCAGCCTAGCAACAGAGTGAGACTTCCTCTCAAAAAAAAAAAAAAAAAAGGAAAATGTGGACACAGACGCACATGAGGACACAGACACCACCATGTGAAGATTAAGTCAGAGGTCAAGGCAATGCTCCTTCAAACCAAGGAACGCCAAAGACTCCCAGGAAACCACCAGAAGCCAGGGAAGGAGCATGGAAGAGATTCTCCCTCACAGCCTCAGAAGGAACCAACTCTAACACCACGCATGATCTTGGACTTCTGACCTTGAGAACTGTGAGACAATACATCCCTATTGTTTAAGTCATGCACTTTGAAATACTTTGTTATGGCAGCCCTAGCAAACTCATACAAGAACCCAGGCTTCTCTTCCCCCAGCTGTCACCTCTTAGCAGACTCCTGACCTGGTAGCAACTGGGACAGAGCTGCTCTGGGATGTTCTGGGCCTCGAAGCTGAGCCTGAGACTTGAGCTGAATCCCTGGCAGAGGCTAAGGGAGCTGTTGGCCAAGGGACCGGCTGGCTGGGGGTGACTGTGAAGGAGCCATGGCTGCTGTTCCCATTCCTCCAGCATCCCCTCCCCAAGCTGCCGGTGCAGGGAGGAGCTGCTGCAGTGTGGACTCTAAGCCTCCCAGAGGCAGGAGGGTCCCAGCAGTTGTGAGGGGTCTGGGGAGGGAGGACAGGACTTAGCAGGGGCCTCTTCTCTGAATACTATGGAGTTCTCGCCCAGCTGCCCACACTCTCGCGCACCTCCCCACACTCACATTGCACAAAGAGACTCAGAGAGATTTGCAGGGAGCCCAGAGGGTGCTGAGCGCGGCAGGTGAAACCTCCTTCTTCTGCAGACCCTACTTGCGACAGCTCCAGGACCCCGGTATTGGAGATTGGTGTGGCGTTCAGGGCAGGGAAGCCCTGGAACCAGCTCAGGTGCGCAGGGGGGTTGCCGTCAGCATCACAGAGCAGCCGCAGAGCCTGGCCCTCCAGGACGGGGAGGGACGAGGTGTTTTGCAGGATTTTGAGGGCTTTGGGGAGAGAGGTGCAGAGAGTGAGAGATGGGGTATAGGGGCAAGGCACTGGTGTCCCTCTCCTCCTGTGGGGTCCACACTAGCTCTGAGGAGGAGACTAGTAAAGTGGGGGCCTCAGGTCTTCAGAAGAGCCCAGACCATTTCCCTGGAGCAGCCCAGGTTGCCCTGCAGAGAGTGAGGCAGGGGCTGGGGACAGCGTCGTGGCAAACAAGTGCCATTCCTGGACCATGGAGATGCCTGCAGCAGTAGGAAGACAAGCAGCGTCAGAGAGAAGCGGGAGTGTGAGGGGTGCGGCAGCTCCTGTGGGTGAGGTGACAAAGGCTGGGGGTGAGGAAAGATTCCGTTCAGGGCTTTGAAGTCTATGGAGGCCTTAGTCCTGGCTTCTCATATTGATCCCCGTTAGTCCCCACTCTGCTTCCATCCAGCCCTGGAGAGAACAGGACAGGCTGGTTCCTACCTGTGCTGTTTCCTTGGAAGATGCTGATGGTCACTTTCTGTGGAGCATCTGGGGTGGAAAGAGGTGGCAGCCTCAACATCCCTGAAGAGGAACGGTAGGCATGGGGCCTTCCCCTCAGGAGCCATGAAAACAGGGAAGGGAGCTATCCTCTTTGGCGACCAGGTCCCCAACTTTAAGCTCTGGCTCAGCCCTGCCCTGTCCCCCTCCTACCCTCAGGGACCCGGGGGTCCTGGCCCAGCACTCACAGGAGACATTGAGCTGGATGGTTCTCTCCATGGTTACACCGACTCCAGGGAACGTCACCTGACAGGTGAGGTTGGTACTGTGGTCCTGGGGCCGTGGGGTGATCGTGAGCACCGAGGACTGGGTGGTCCTGAGGCCCAGGGAGGTGGGGGCAGCTGACATCCAGGAGAAGATGGGGGGCGTCCCCTGCTCACAGGCCCAGGGCACAGAGCAGTTCAGGGTCCTGGAACAGCCGGACTCCAGGGTCCCTGGGATGGAGATGCTGGGCCTGTGGCTCAGGGCTGGTGAGGAGATGGGGACACAGGATCAGGACTGGGGTATGAGGTTTCACCCAGAGGGAAGCCCAGTCTCTGCTTCAGCTCCTCCCCTGAGCCCAACAGGCTTAATTCTACCCACCTCCCAGGACAGGAGTCCTGTCCCAGCCCTGCCCTACAGCCCCCATGATCTTCCCCTGATGGCCAGTCCTGGAGCTGGTTCCTTACCCATCACACACACAGAGAGCTTGGAAGATTTATAAGATGGATAACCAAAATTTGGCCATTTCGGCTTCAACCGAAGGACGTATGCAGCATTGTCCCTCCTCCGGGCATCTCTGATGCTCAGGGAGCAGTTCTTACTGCTGAGATCCCAGAGGAGGTGGAATCGGTCCCGGGTCTCCTCCTGCACTTCTTTATGTGGGTCATTTGTGGCCACTGGAACATCAGCCCCTTCCAAGTACCAGTAGCCATAATAATCGTACCAGGGTGAATAGATAGTGGGCAATCTGCAGGGTAGGAGGACGCACAGACCCTCCTGCACCGTCAACGACTCTGGTCCCTCCAGCTGGAATGTCCACTCCCGAGCCAGGGCCCCTGTGGAGACATGAGGGTCAGCTCGGCCCAGCCCCACGGCCCCTCTCCCCTGGCCCACTCACCTGCCCACAGCAGGAGCAGCAGCAGCGGTAGCATCTCTGAGGCGGAGGCTTCCTGGGCTCCCTGCGTGAGCAGAGAATGGGAAGGGAGTGGAGGGGAAGGACTGCGGGGAGGAATGGGTGGCTGGGGAGGAGCGCGTGATGTTGGCGATTCACAGAAGAGGAACTGCAAAGCCACAGGCCGTCGGAGCTCCACTCCCTCTGCACAGAGCAGACGGAAACCTTGCAACCCAGAGACCTCAGAGACCTGCTCAAATGAGAGCAGAGGAGCAGAGACTGTGTCCCGCCTCCCACCTCAGGGCTTCCTGCGAGCACCAGAGCCTGGACCAGGGCCTCCGGGGGCATCTGAGGAATGGGACACCCGTGTCTAAGGCCCTCCTACTCTGAGGTGCTTTTCTGTGCCCCACTGTTTACACCTAGGAGCTGGTCACTGCTGGCCTCAGAGAGTCACAGCCTCATCACAAGCCATGAGAAAGTCAGTCCTGCAGGATATAGGATTCTGTAGGGTCTGTGGGAGTGTTTGGGGCAGTGAAAGGAAGAAGGGTCCCAGGTGCAGTGTGGGTGGTAGCCACTCATTCATTCACTCATTCATTCATTCACATAGTGAACATCTGTATGTAGACGGGGCTGGAGAAGAGATGCCAGGGACCTGGTCTCTACCCTTGAGATGATCCCCATGCATAGCCTCCCATCCTCAGCACACACACATCGTCTGGCTTTGGAGCTGTGGACTGGTGAGTTTGCCATGTGTCACAGTAGAATGCTGGATATTTTTAAAAACGTGAGTATGGAGGTTTTTCCTTGACAGCTAGTATGCTTACAAAATTTCAATGACATCTCCAAAATAAGAACCATGCAGCACTTCATGTAAACCAAAAGGGAGGACACATATTTTGTGAATTGCAGTGCAGAAGAAACTTCTTTGGAATTAATGTCGCCACTCAGTGCAGTGTGGACTGGAGAAGTTTTTTTTTTAGGTCCTCATCATAGAGATTAGCAATTTCTTTCCTGTAAAAAATCTGCTTCTCACGGTTAAAGGTGGCACAAAAGACATATTTCTGGGCAACAGGAGTGGAATATCCAGAGAAAATTAAAATTTTAGGTCTAGGTCACAGGGTTTTCCATTTTCCTCTGTGCAGTATGCATCTGGCAAATCTTTAATACCTATGAGGTATTAGAATTTGCCACCATATATTTGTAATGTTTTTTATTTCTACAAACTTAAGGAGTAAATGTAAATTTTTGTTGCATGTATATAATGCATAGTGATTATGTCAGGATATTTAGAGTGTCCGTCACCTGAGTGCAATACATTCTTGTTAACTAAAATCACACTACTCTGCTCCCTAACACTGAATTTGTTCCTTCTAACTCTATGTTTGTACCACTTCACTCACTTCTCTTCATCTTCCCTCCTCCCCTTATCTGACCCTTTCCAGTCTCGTCTGTCTTTCTACTGTCTACCTCCATGTAATAATATTTTTCTAGCTCCCACATGTAAGTGAGAACATGCAATATTTGTCTTTTTGTGTATGGCTTATTTCAATTTAGATAATGAATTCCAGTTCCATCCATGCTGCCGCAAATGACACGATTTCGTTCTTTTTTATGGCCAAATAGTATATATACCATATTTTCTGTATCCATTCATCTGTTAATTGACACTTAGGTTGATTCCATATCTCTGATATTGCGAATAGTGCAGCAAAAAACATGTGAATGCAGGGGTCTCTTTGATGTATTTATTTCTTTCTCTTCGGGTAGATACCCAGTAGTGGGATTGCTTGTGTGATTGAATAGTAATTCTATTTTTAGTTCCTGAGAAATGTCCGTAGTGTTTTCCAAAGTGGCTGTACTAGTTTAAATTCCCACCAACAGTACAGAAGAGTTATCTTTCTCCTCATCCTTGCCAACATCTGTTATTTATTTATTTATTTTAGTGATAGTCATTCTGACTGGGTAAGATGGTATCTCATTGTGGTTTCGATGTGCACTTCTCTGATAATTAGTGACGCTGACCATTTTTTCGTATTGGCTGTTCTTATGTCTTCTTTGAGAACTGTCTGTTCCTGTCCTTTGCCCACTTTTTACTTGGATTATTTGCTTTTTCCTGTTGAGTTGTTTGAGTTCCTTATATAGTCTGGATATTAGTTGCCTGTCAGAAGAATAGTTTGCGAATATTTTCTGCAATTCAACAGGTTGTTTCTTCACTCTGATATTTCTTTTGCTGACAGAAGCTTTTTGTTTATTAAGTCCCATGTGTTTGTTTTTGTTTTTGTTGCCTGTGCTTTTCAGAACTTAGTCATAATTTCTGACTCTTCTGGTCAATGTTCAGAAGAGTTTTCCCTAGGTTTTCTTCTAGCTTTTTTAAAATATAGTTTTGGGTCTTATATTTAAGTGTATGGTTCATTTTGAGATTTTTTTTGTATGATGAGAGAGAAGAATCCAGTTTCATTCTTTTGTGTGGGGGTATATGATTTTCCCAGCACCATTTGTTGAAGAAGGTGTCCTTTCCTCAATATAAGTTCTTGTCAGTTTTGTTGACAATCAATTGGCTGTATACATGTGGCCTTATTTCTGGGTTATATTCCATTGGTCTATGCATGTATTTTTATGCCATATCATGCTGTTTTGGTTATTATAGCCTTGTAATATAGTTTGAAGTCAGGTAATGTGATGCCACTAGTTTTGTTCTTTTTCCTTAGGATAGCTTTGGGTATTCAGGCTCTTTTTGGATCCATATGACTTTTAGAATTGTTTTTTACAATTCTGTGAAGACTGACATTGGTATTTTGACATGGATTGCATTGCATCTTTATATTGCTATAGACCAATGTGGTCTTCTTAATGATCTTAATTATTCCAGTGCATGAGCATGGGATGTTTTTCCATTTGTTTGTGTCATCTTCAATTTCTTTCATCAGTGTTTTTTAGTTTTTCTTGTACAGATTTTCACCTGGTAGGTCATTAAGAGGATATTGTTTAATTTCCATGCATTTGTCTTGTTTCCAGAGTTCCTCTTGGTGCTGACTTGTTGTTTTGTTCCATTGTGGTCTGAGTATATTTTTAGTATAATATTGATTTTTTTAAATTTATAGAGACTTATTTTGTGGTCGAATATATGGTGTATCCTGGAGAATGTTTCACGTACTGATGAAAAGAATATGTATTCTACAGTTGTTGGGTAGAAGTTCTGTAAGAGTCTGTTAGTTCCATTTGGTCTATAGTGTAGTTTAAATGTGATGTTTGTTTGTTGATTTTCTGTCTAGATGTTCTGTCTAATACTGAGAATAGGGTGGTGAAGCTTCTTACCTTATTGTATTGCATTCTATCTCTCTCTTTAGATCTAGCAATATTTTCTTTATAGATATGGCTGCTCCAGTGCTGGGTGCATATATATTTAGAATTGTTAGATCCTCTTGCTGGGTTGATCCCTTCATCATTATATAATGACCTTCTTTGTCTTTTTCTACTGCTCTTGACCTGAGGTCTGTTTTATCTAAGTATAGTTACTGCTGCTTACTACTGGTTTCCATTTGTGTGGAGTATCTTCCTCCATCCTTTGACTTTTGGTCTATATGTGTCTTTTCTTAAGGTGTGTTTCTTTAAGCTGCATATATTTGAGTCATTTTTAAAATCCATTCAGCCCTTCTATATCTCTTAAGAGGATACTTTAATCTATTTACATAGATGGTTATTATTGATTTGTGAGGCTTCCTTTCTGTCAGGTTATTAACCATTTTCTTGTTTTAAACACTCCTTGTTTCTTTCCTTTTATCTTATTGTTTGTCCTTGTGATTTGGTGGATTTCTGTAGTGGTACCATTTGAGTCCTTTCTAGTTCTCATTTGTATGATTGCTTTACCAGTGAATTTTTTACTTTCATGTGTTTTCATGATGATAAAATCATCCTTTTGCTTCCAGGTTTAGGACTCCTTTGAGTATTTTTTGCAGGGCTGGTCTAGTGGTAATAAATTCCATCAGCATTTGTTTGTCTTGGGATTACTTTATTTCTCTTTTATTTATGAAGAATAGTTTCTTTGCATATTCTGTGGTGGCAGTTATTTTTTCTTTTAGTACTTAGAATATATCAGTTCCTTCTTTTCTTGCCTGTAAGGTTTCTGCTGAGAAATCTGCTCTTAGTCAAATGGTATTTCCTTTAGAGGTAGCTAGATGCTTTTCTCTTGCTGTTTGTAGAATTTGCTCTTTAACTTTGACTTCACACAATCTGACTCTAATGTGCCAAGGAGAAGACCTTTTGCACTGGGGATCTGCCTGGGGATCATTGGATCTTCTGTATCTCTGTGTCTAAATCTTTTGTTAGACTTGGGATATTTTCATGTATTATTTTGTTGAGTAGATTTTCCAATATTTCTTTGTTTTTTTCACCCTTATAGATACCAATAATTTATAAATTCCATTGCTTTATGTTGTCCTAAATGTTATGAAGGCTGTGCTCATTCTTTTTTGTACTTTTCCCTTTATTTTTGTCTGACTAGATTATTTCAAAAAACCTGTCTTGAAGTTCTGAGATTCTTCTGCCAGATTTAGTCTATTGTTGAACTTTTCAAATGTGTTTTGTATTTCCTTCAATTAATTATTCAGTTCCAGAATTTATATTTGATTATTTTAAAAAATATACATCTCTTTGATAAATTTCTCATTTATGCCCTGAATTGTTTTTCTGGTTTCCATAGTATTGATTCTCAGAATTCTGTTGCATCTCACTGAGCTTCTTTAACATCAATATTTTGAATTCTTTGCCTGGAATTTCAAAAATTTCTTTTTGATTAAGATCTATTTCTGCAGAATTCTTGTGTTCCTTTCCTTGCTCTTTCATGTTTCCTGTGTCCTTATGTTAAAATCTGTGCATCTGGTATAATGGCGGCTTCCTCCTATTTTTTAATTTACTCTCAAAGAAGACATTTTCTTGAAAATGTATCTATGTTGCTTGTTTGGTGGGGTGCTTTGGCTTTGATTCTGGTTACGTGCAGTAGTAGTATACTTTCTGTGTTTTTATTTGACTGTAAATAGTATTAGTGATATGTGTGATTTCTTTGGCCAGTTAGACATGGTTATTAGTGGAGCATATGGTAAAGTTGTGCTAGGGACAGGGTTGCTCAGTGGGAGAGTCTTCAGGTCCCCAGCATTGGCATCAGTGGGCTGAGCATCTATCTTTGTGCCCCAGGGTGGTATATACTGGCTTCTCTGTTGGCAGTTACCAGTGGGTTGATTCTTGGGCCTTCAGGTTGCTCAGTTGGATGCCTATAGTAGCATCAATGGATCAAACAATTGTGTGGGTTCTTAGGCCCCTGGGCAGCTAACATGGCATTGGCAATAGCAATAGCATGGGCGAGATGATTCTATGAGTCCCAAGTGATGTGTATTAATGTTGGTGGTGGCTGCAATGGGCTGGACAAGATAGTCTTTGGACCCACAGGTGGCACTTGCAGGTAGGTGCCAGGCAAGGTGGTAGCAGCCAGAAGTTTAGGTCCAAACTCAAACCCTCAGGAGAAGTGCTCAGGTGCCCAAATGAATTGGGTCAAGCAGTCCACAGGACCCTGAGCTATATGCTCTGTCTCAGAGCAGGAGAGTTGAGGTGAAGCTGAGCTAGATGGGCTTATGCTCAGGTCCTCAATGGTGAGAGCAGGCACTAGCTATTGTGGGCAGGGTCAGGGCAATCACTGGGTCCCAGGCAGAGTATTTGGGTGAGGGGCAGTGGCAGCCTCACTGAGGCCCTGCTACTGAAGAAGGTAGGGCCATCTTGTGTGGTCACAGCCTGGGTCAGTTGAAGGTAGCAGAAGAACATATGTCCCTTTCACACTCAAGTCCTGGTGGGGCTCAACCCCCACCCTGGTTGCTGGAGCCCCCATCTGGCTTGCAAACAAGTTCCAGTGGCAACTTATGCCCCTCTTGCATCCTTGTCTCAGATCCTGGCAGTGCTCGCTTCACAGCCACTGCTGCCCAAACCTTGCTCACTTTCTAGCCCCAGCTGCAGGAGCACTCCTGGCTTCAATCCCCTGTCCCAGCAGCAACAGCTTGAGTTTCTGTAATGCCCCAGTTTCAGTGTCTCTGGGTCCTGAACAGCATATGGTTTCCAGAGGATAAACTTGAAAATGCTTAAGTGTCAGAAAGGTGTGGAACCCAGCAGGAGCTCCCTTCCTGGAGTAGTTCTGTCCAATGGTGTCCTGACTCTCCATGTTAAGTTTCAGGTGTTGGAAGGGTTGAGGGCTTCTCTCTTGACCAGGATTGCTGAATTCTGCCACGGAGATGTGGGTGACTGGAAGTCTCTAACTCAGTCCTTTGTGCATTGGGAAGTCACTCCCTGCTTCAGGTCAATCCCAGTCAGGGAGGCTACCTCTTTTCTTTCTCCTTCCCTGTTTTTGGTGCCCCCTGTCACTTCTCTGGTGGATTCCAGGATTTTCCCTTGGATAATGTAATTCAAGTGTGACTGTATATACACTACTCTGGTTCTTCTAAGTGGAGGAGGCAGGCATGAAATGCTTCTAGTTAGTCGTCTCGCGCTACCCTTATTTAAACAATTTTTAAACACAATAGTATCTAGATAAATGTTCATTCATCCTTACTAAAATAAGAGAGCTAGTTTTACCTTTATTTGATATATAAGTAATTGAGCCACCAATAAGTATAATACTTGTTCTAGATTATTTTTTAAGTAAAAATGTGGCACATAATAGAAAATTCGATGAAATTTGTTTTAACAGTAAATAAAGTTATATCATGTTCATAGACTGGGAGGTTAAATATGAAGTTGTGATTTCTCATTATGTTTCTTTAATGAACTTTATTAGGTATAATTTTTATAGTCAAATTTGGAATTTATTTTGCCTAAAAGAGTTCCAATGAGAGAAAAATTTTGACATAACAGTGAAAACAAAATCCTCATACCTTACAATTAAAATTTTTGGATATTTGTATCATAAGCATATCTGGTCTATAAGAAGCGTCATTTCTACTAGAGATTTCTCATCAAGAATAAATGAGGTCCTTTTCATGAGGAAAACAAACAAAACTCTTAGTCATAACTTTGATCCGTGTTCAACCTCCTCAACAAAGTTTTGCATGCATTATTTTTATACTAGAGATGTGAATTTTTAAAATTAGCAACACATATTTTTAATATACCTGAAGATATTTCCTTCCTTCCAATAATTATCAATAAAAGGAAAGGCAGGTATATATACTACTATTATTAGATCTATCAGCCTAATTTTAATTTCTAATTAATATCTTTATTTAAATTGTTCAGTTTAATAAAAATAATTTAATGGGTTAAGACACTGCCTTCAATTAGGTTTTGATTTAGAGCAGAAGACAGATCCTACATGAATATTTAATGTTGCATCTGGGCACTTTTCCTGACCTACGCTAGTTTGCCAACCAGTGTTTGTCCAACATACAAAGATAGGCTGCATATACTCAGAAACTAAATTATTGAGATTTCAACAATATACAAAAGTCATTTCATATGCTCATACTTTCTGTTTACTCCCTTATTTAAGGAAAGGTTCACATTGTTAACAGAAAAACAGGTTCTTGTGCCAGCCAGCTAGTAAATCTCATAATTTCATTAAAAACGCTGTGGATAACTTTGTACGCTATTAATGGGAATGTACATTAGTACACCCATTAGGGAAAGCAGAATGCTGGTCCTCCCGAAATTAAAAATAGAACTACCATATGATCCAGAAATCCCATTTATGAGTATCTATTGAAAGAAAACAAAATTAGTATATTGAAGAGACATCTGTACTCCCATATTTACCGAAGTACTATCCGCAACAGTCAAGATATGGAATCAACCTAAGTGCCCAGCAATGGATGAATAAAGAAAATGTGGTATGTATATGCAAGAGAATATTATTCAGCTTTAAAAAGAAAGAAAATTTTGTCACTTGCAACAACATGGATGAACCCGGAGGAAAATATGCCAAGTGAAATAAGCTAGGCACAGAAAGGCAAATACTTCATGATTCTGCTTATATGAGGAATCTGTAGAAGTCAATTTCATAAAAGCAGAGGCTAGAACCCTGGTGATCAGGAGTGGGGGTTGGAGACAATAAAGAGATATTAGTCAGAGGGTACAAAGTTTCAGGTAGACAAGAGGAATCTGGAAATCTCCTGTACTGCATGGTGACTATAGCTAATAATACTGTATCATATATTTCAATACTGCTAAGACAGTACATTTCCAATGTTCTTATCACAAAACAAAACAAATATTGCTGGATAAAAAGCAATCCTTTTGATGAGTATAAGGTGTTACTTTAAAGTGCAAAGGGGTTGATAAGTGTGAGATGTAATGCATATATTAGTTAGCTTATTTCTTCATTATACAATGCACACTTATTTTAAAACATTAGGTTGCATATCATAAATATACACAATTTTATTTGTCTATTAAAATAGAACAATGAAAATTCAAAGGAAATGTCCACAAAACATCGCATTATATGCTGTAAATAAATACAATATTTATCTTTCAATTCCACCTCAATAAGGCTGGAAATATTGCGTTGAAAAATCCACAACTCAGCCTACTGCCTGGCCCTCTTGAGCCTTCAGGTCCCTCCAGCACTAGGACCTGGGATTCAGCGTTGTGTCCCCTGTACTCCCCACATCTCTCCTTGGTCCCTGGGGCAGCGCTTACCTGAGGAAGAGGAGGCAGAGGCAGATAGCCAGGATCTTCACAGCTGCCTCCCCAGCAGCCACCAGGACCACCTCCACCACAGGTCCTGATTTTGAAAAGTTTTTCCCCAGATGGGAGCAGTGGCCTATAATCCCAGCACTTTGGGAGGCTGAGGTGGGCGGATCACTTGAGGCCAGGAGTTCAAGACCAGCTTGGCCAACATAGCAAAATCCTGTCTGTACTAAAAATACAAAAGAAATTACCTGGGTGTGGTGGCACATGCCTGTCATCCCAGCTGGTAGGGAGACTGAGGCATGAGAATTGCTTGAACCTGGGAGGCAAAGGTTGCAGTGAGCCAAGATCACACCACTGTACTCCAGCCTGGGCAACAGAGCGAGACTCTGTCTCAAAAAATTAAAAAAAAAAAAGTTTTGCCCCACACTGGGTAGGTGAATACACACACTTTTACCCCTCCCTGTTGGGCATGTAACCTTGTTCACCTTCATGGAGAACCACTTGGCCATATTTTTCAAAATTGGAAAGAACATATGATCCAACTGTTTGGCATTTAAGAACTGATTTCACAGGCATAGATGTACACTTGTGGCAGTAGATACAAGATTATTTATTGCAGTGTTACTGTTGGCAGGATAAAATTTGTGCCATGATATTCCATTAGGCACAAAATCAGAGTCCACATTTTTGATGCCACAAAATTGGAGTGCATCCACACAGTGGAATCACACACAGTACTGAAGGAGAGTAATATCACTCTGATGTCACTACTGATGTTAAACCATCACTGAGCTCCTTCGGGCAAGCAAATCAAGGTGCAGTGCAGACAGGACAGACACTGGTGGATTCTGGGGAAGGGCATGGGTGACTGAGGGCAGATTCTACTGTGCATTCTGAATTTTCACCCATGTGACTGTATCGTCTGTCCAGAAGAACTTGGATCAGGACTACTGGGGAGAATAAGAAGATGAGGGAGGAGGAGTATTCAGGAGGTGGGGACTCAAAGCCTGGATCTGCTATGTGAATGGCGCCCTGCCCTTGTTATGGGGCCTGTGGGAGTTGTATGTGGAAGAGGCCAAGGGTAGTGAGGGGAGGATGGGGACAGGTGCTCAGGTGGCTTCGGAGACTAAGGATGGGGAAGACCCCTGTTTCACTTACAAGGGGGTCTCAGTTTACCAAGGTGAGTCCAGGAAGAAACAGTAGCCCAGCCCTGCCCAGAGCTGCAGGCCCTATTCCCTCAGCCCCAGGGAGGGGGCTCTGTCCTACCTGTGCCATCTCCTAGAGAGACACTGATCCTTGGGTTCCTTGGAGCATCTAGAACAGGAAGAGAGAATTTCCTTTTCATTGGGGTTGAGATGAGGTAAAAGTAGGCACTCCTTCCCTACCCCAGAAGCCACAGGAATGTCAAAAGACAGAGCTTCTATCCTTCTAGTTCCCCTGCTCAGCCAGGCCTCCAGGACATAGCCACAAAATGTCCCCTACCCTGATCCTCCTCTGCCCCCTACACCCTCAGGAACCCAGGCATCTTGGCCCCAGCACTCACAGGAGACACGGAGCTGGATGGTTCTCTCTGTGGTCACACCAGCTCCAGGGAACTTCACCAGCCAGGTGAGCTTGGTGCTGTGGTCCTGGGGCTGTGGGGTGATCGTAAGCACTGAGGAGCCGAAGTTCCTGGAGCCCAGATGCAACAGGGAGACCCCCATTCGGAAGAATGTGGAGGGAGCTCCTCCCATTCACAGGCTCAAAACACATAGCAGGTGAGATTCCTGGTGTGACTGGTACCCCAGGATCTCCGGGATGAAAATGCTGGGCTTGTGTGTCAGGGCTGGTGAGGAGAGAGAGGAGCTTGGGGACCATCTGAATGTTGTCAGCCCACCCCAGTGTCCTTTCACGGCTGTCCTCATGCCACCACCTGTAGAAGGAGCAGAACCTTCGTTGTATTATTTCTGATGTCTGGGCTCTTAACATACTTGTCATATTCCAAGAGAGCATCCTACAAGATATGAATGTTTCCTGAAGGGTTTCTCCTTTCTGAAGAGTCCCCATGGGCTGGGCGCCATGTCTTACGCCTGCAATCTCAGCACTTTGGGAGGCCGAGGCGGGCAGATCATGAGGTCAAGAGATCGAGACTATCCTGGCCAACATGGTGAAACCCTGTCTGTACTAAAAATACAAAAATTAGCTGGGCATGGTGGCAGGCACCTGTAATTCCAGCTACTCAGGAGGCTGAGGCAGGAGAATCTCTTGAACCCGGGAGACTGAGGTTGCAGTGATCCGAGATTGTGCCACTACACTCCAGCCTGGTGACAAAGTGAGAATCCATCTCAAAAACAAAGGAAGAAAAAAAAAGAGTCCCCGTGTGCGCCTCTGATGCTCAGGGAGAAGTTGTTGGTCTCGAGGTCCCTGGGCAGGAGGAATTGGCCCTGGGTCCTGCCATGAAGCGTTTGTCCTGGTCACTGGAGGATTGTGGTCTACATCCACCCCTTTCTGGAACCAGCATAGGTGAAGGGTTCCATAGCAAGTCCAGGGGTAAGGAAATTTGCACAGCCCAAGGACAGACAGGCCCTCCTGCACCATCACGGGTTCCTGGAGCTGCAGCTGGAATCCCAGAACCTAAGCCACGGGCTCTGGAGAGAGGAAGAGACTAAGCCGTGGGCTCTAGAGCCTCCTAAGTGGGGACTGCTGTGTCCGCAGCCTGTGCAGGGTCAGCAGCAGTGGCATCTCTGCCTCATACCCAGGGGCAGACCTCTGAAAGGGAAGGGAAAGCTACAGATGTGGGAAAGCAGAGGAAGTTTGTGGTGAGAACAACAGGTGACCAGCCCAGAAAAGGGAACTTCAGACACACAGAGTCCCTTGTAAGTAACTCTTTAAGAAAACTGAGTTCCATTTTTGCATGTTGCTCAGACAAGGCAAGAGGCTTGTCCTAAGTAAGGCAGCAATGAAGGACCAGGGTCCCCAAGTCCTGCCTCCTGGACTTGTGCACAAGTGACTGGAGAAACAGGTGCCACCTGGCCAGTTCCCCGTGAATCACAGGCGTGGGACCCCCATGGAGGTCAGTCTCCTAGGGATGAGTGCCAGAGGCGTGAAAGGGTCCAGGTGAGGTAAAAGCAGCAACACTTCATTCATTCCACCTGTGCATTCATTCTCAAACAAAAGTAAAAGAGACAGATTTGCATCATTCCTGACCCTCAACTAGCTCAAGTAGTCCTGGAAGACAGACGCAATCATGGGCTTGAGTTTTCTCCAAGGACAATAGGGAATCATGGAAGGTTCTCGTGCAGGAAACTGTCAGCGTAATATATACATGTCAGAGAGATCCCTCCAATGCCAGACTGGAGGCTAAGGGCCCAGTCTGAGAGAGAAAGCTGTTGTGATTGTTCGGTAAGGAAGAACCATGCTTTCAAGGAGAGAGTCATGTAGTGAATTCTTAGAATTGCATGTGACCTAGTGTCCTTTTTAAATACCAGAAGCAGGGCTCAGTCACCCTTAACAATTTCCAGTTCTAAACCACATTCAAACGGCTCAAACCAGTGGCCAGAGATAAGAACTTAGATGGGCACAGTGACTCATGCCTTCAACCAACCCCAGCACTTTGGGAGGCTGAGTGGGGTGGATCTCTTGAGCAGAGTTCAAGACACCCTGGGCAATATAGAGGGAACTCATCTCTACAAAAAAACAATAGATAAACAAAAGAACCAGCTTCATCTCTCCTGTAAAAGCAGATTGGCCTTCCTGCTTTTTCTGGTGCTACCTTTAAGGGAACCATTCAGATATTTGCCCATTAACTTAAAGTAACCACACCTGATTCCCTGAGAGGTACTGCCAGATGCCATTGCTTTTCTTTCTCTCTCTGCCTGACTCTTCATTCCTGCCTTGGGTGACCCAGGGATGGACTGGGTCCCCCCACTCATTACTGCCCCTCCTTCTCTCATTACACTCTCATTGCCTGGAGTTTATAAGTAAAAATCTTTAAACATATTTCCTAGCTTGGTGGTGCATTGAACTTGCACCCTCCAGCTGAAGAACTGGGGCTACCCTAGGCTGGGTTTCCCCCTAGGACACCTGGGAGGTTACAAGTGTGGACTTCCAGTGCCAGGGCAATGGTCAGGCAGACATAAAGTGAACATGGGTCAGAAAAGAACAACAAGGGCATCTGTAGCTTAGACAAGTTGCCCATGTGAGGCACCCATGGTCATGGGCCAGACAACCAGGCATTAGATCATCTTCCACGTAAGAGAAAGATCCTGTGAAAGGTAGGCTGTAGACACCACATCCAACTCTCCTTCATTTCCCATTAGGGCAGGGTCATCAGCCACTCTGGCACTGGAGCCCCAGTTTAGCTGAGGACTCTCAAAACAAGTCACCTTGGTAATTGAAGAAAGAAGCAATTTGAGACATTTTCAGAAAGTGGACTTTGCAGAGTTGGCAGTGGTGCACGACAGAGCAGGAGCACAGCCATCTCAGACAAACACTGCCACTTTAAGTTCTGGCTCCCTTTCTAGCCTCATGCATTTCAAAGAAATCCCTTCTCTTCTAACAGCAAGCAGCCAGAAAGAGCAGAAAGTGAAACACAGATAAGACAGCTCAGGCACAGAGGGATGTCAGGGGGCAAAGTCTCTTGGGTAACCACCAAACTTCACACTCATACAAGGTCCCCAGTAAAACAGTGAGCCTTAATAAATACATTCCTTTCCCTTTAGGTATAGTAAGATAGGGAAGCTAAAAGCAGACTCAGGGGGTATGCCTGCAGCTTCAGGAAGATGTGTGGGAACAGACACACAACTCTCCCTTCCAGAAAAGCAAGACAGAGAGACAGAAACATTCTGAGCCTGTGATAAGCTCTCCCACCCTGAACCCTTAAAAACTCTTAGTCTGTAAAAGAGAGTGCCTCTGACCTAACTCAGCCAGAAGCCCCTCTCAGGTTTCATCTCCAAAATAAGCCTGTCTTTAACCGTTAAGCCACTTTTTGTGTTTCTTTCCTTTTTCTTTAATTTTTATAGTGCCTGAGGGAGGGGAGCATCTGCAATGGCTCCCAGAGCCCAGACTCAAGCAGCAGGGGCCTAGGGGTGTCATGGCAGAGAGCTGGTGAGATGAGCAGTCAGGGCTTGGGGGCAGGTCTGGTCTGGAGAGGGAGGAGTAGGGAGCTTCACAAATCCTATGGGAGTTGGACTCAGGGGAGGTGGATGTGTTCACCAAGGGGGAAACGGAAGGCCCTGGGGGGAGGGGTGGGGAACTCACAGTCTTAAGCTTAACTGTAGGTTGGGGAATGACTGAGATGGCCTGGCCAGGGAGGTAGGAGGAGAAGGAGCTGTGCATTGGTGACATCAGTGGTGAGAATTTTATCAGGGATGGGTGGGAGGGGCAGACTGCAGGGAGCAGTGGGGTGAGGGGGAGTGGGACTCATTGGGATGTCTTCAGCCCTCTCCCATCAGAGCTCTGGCCCTCCACTTCTGTCTTGAGCAAGCAGGAAGCCCACCTTCATCACCACCCCAGAGGAGGGGTTTTTTCCTACCTGTACCATTTCTTCGGGTGGGGCCAATAGCCAGGTTCTGTGGAGCATCTGGCTTCTGGAATGGAGAAAGGCACCATTTTCTACTACCATGGGGAGGAGTATGGCTGCTCTGCCTCTTTGGCTGAATCCACGAAAAGCTGCTGAGGTGGGGACTGGGTGATTTCTTCTCCCTTCTCCAGCAGAGCTCCTGACCAGGTGTCGAATCTCTCAGGTCCTGAACCCTCCCTGTCCATCCTGGCAGCCCTCAGCCACCCAGGTGTCCTGGCCCACATCCAAGGGGGATGCTGAGCCTGGTGGTACAAGGAGCTCAGCTGGGCTGTGAGAGAGAGCTGAGCTGCAAGGTGGCAGGGTCACCGATTAAAGCAATGATATACCAAACTGATAGGACAAATCAAGCATTTAATCACAGATGGCAGTGATAGAGGCAAGAGTCTAAACCAGAGAATGCACCAACTCTTCTTGTTTCATTTCCTGCCTCCTCTCTGAACAGTGCACACTGCTGGAGGGTCAGGTGGCTCATGGATCAACACAGACATAGGGGTCAGGGTCCTCTCACTGAGGAGGGAGCCCTGAACAAAAGGCTCAGGCAGTTCCACAGACCCTGGGAGGGGTGGGGGCATGAGAAGGGCTATGAGTGGAAAATAACTGAGTACTGAGTCAGAGTGGGGAAACGTGTCTTCAAGGTTCCTCCTGCCCCCAGCAACGTGGGCTCAGCAGAGGCATCTGTGGAAGACCTCTGTCCAAGGCCTCAGACAAAGAGGCCTAGAAATAAATGTAACTGCGATAGAAATGCAAATATGCACGGTGCATGACTGGCCGGAGAGGTGCAGTCCTTGACCACAACCCAGTGTGAAGAGGGTGGAGTCCCCCAGTGAGGCCTTCCAGGAAAAGGCTTTGTAACTGCCTGTAGTCAAACCTGAAAAGTCACAGCTATGTTTTTAACCAGATGCTGGACTCCTCAGATAGTTCTATCCATGGATCTACCGCTTCCTAGGAAGGTCACCTGGCATGGAGGCCTGATGCCACGTTCTTGGACCCTAGGATACAGAGGTACACTGAGGACTTGGGGGGGGGGTTTCAGAACCCCAGGAAGAGAGGTGCATCCTCCTTCACAAGCCCCTAGCATGATGCTGTTTAGACTCCAAGATGGCCGGACTTAAGCTTAAAGGGATATAAATTAGGGGTATCTGATACAAGATAGAGAGGAGAAGAAAACTCAGAGAGGAGACCCCAGAGTGTCAACCTAGGGGTGGCCTCTCCTGCCCTCAGCCCTGGGATCCTGCACCTCTCCCTTACCCTCCAGATAAGAAACAGGTATGTTCCTGCCTCTGGGGCTCTCCCCTGGGGACCCTTCTCTGCTGGTCACAGTCAGAGGCAGTGTCATTCATTGGGAGCTATATTTCATGTGATATCTCTGACCTAGAGATGTGTTCCTACTTTCCTGCATCTTGAACATCTGATGCTTAGAGAGCAACTGTGGGCCTTTGGGTCTCTAAGGAGGTTGGCTTTGCCCCAAGTCTTCTGTTCCAGATTTTTCTTTTCTTTTCTTTTTTCTTTCTTTCTTTCTTTTTTTTTTTTTTTTTTTTTTTTGAGATGGAGTCTTGCTCTGTTGCCCAGGCTGGAGTGCAGTGGCACAATCTCAGCTCACTGCAACATCTGCCTCCCAGGTTCAAGCTATTCTCCTGCCTCGGCCTCCTGAGTAGCTGGGATTACAGGCACCTGCCACCACACCTGCCTACTTTTGGTATTTTCAGTAGAGACAGAGTTTCACCATCTTGGTGAGGCTGGTCTCGAACTTCTGACCTCAGGTGATCCACCCCCCTCAACCTCCCAAAGTGCTAGGATTACAGGCATGAGCCACTGCGCCTGGCCTTCTTGTTTGTGGCCACAGGGGGATTATGGTGTCTGTGGGCCCCCTCTGGGATCCAAAGGTGGGTGTGAACTGGGTTAAAGTCAGTCCAGAAAACCCACAGATTGCACTAGAGAATGAGGTTGGGCACAGGATGCAAAGGTTCCCCCTTCACCATCACTGACTGAAAGGTGAGAGTGCAGCCAGGTGATTCTCATGGAAGCAAGCTGTGGCTGCAGCCTGACTGAGCAACCTCTTCCTCAGGCCTCTGCTGCCCCCACAGCGGGGGCAATGGCAGCAGCAGAAAAGGGATGTTCTACATTCCGCTGACACCATCTGATTTTTTGGGGAGCCGAAAAGGCCAAAGGGATCGTGACCAACTCAGCATTCCACTGGAGGCTATATGATCAAACAGCAAACTGTTTATCATGAATGAAGGATGTGAGCAAACTCACGACTGCACCTGCCACCAGAAGGTTGCTGAGGACCATCACTCCCTGGCCCTGGCTCCTTGAGGTTATCTTCTGGGACATCTAGAGCCTGCTGTTCAAGGAGTGCAGTCTTGCAAGCCTACTCTGGACCAAGCAACTGACCTCTTCTTCCACCACCTCCCCACCCCACCTTCTCGCTATCTCTTTTGCCTAATAAATACGGAGGGCTGTGTAAAGCTCAGGGCCCTTGTCCACTAGAGGCAAGGTGCCCCCGACTCCTTCTTCCAAACATATTTTTTTGTTCTCTTGTCTTTATTCCCGCTTTCGTCCCCCTTTGTTCAGTCCACCAAGGTCCGTGCGGGTTACAAGTGGCGCCCTGAACAGCAACAGGATTGGGCGCTCCACAAGTGGCGCCCCAAACAGTGAGAGAACCGGGCTCTCTACACTGATTAGCCTCTCCTACTTGGAAGTGGGCACAACCATAGAGTGACAGATTCTCTTCCTGGATTGAATGCCATAGTTCCTCTCCCAAATTTCTGCCTTCAGCAGGAACACTACCTTTGCCCTCAGAGCACTGCAGGGGAAATGAAAGCTGAGCTCTCCTCTCCCCTGACCACAGCAGGGTGGGACCTTCCTTCTGCCTCTTCCTCACCACCTGAAGACCAACCCCCACTTCCCTCAAGAGAGATGTGAAGTTTGTGGGTCTATTTTCCCCAGGTGCTTTTCTTGGAGCCCCTTGCATAGGGTCGTAGGAGGGCGAGACTGAGACTCTCCTAAAATGGAACCCTCTCTGTCCTCAGTTTCAGCCCTGGCTCCAGCTCCAGTTCCAGACTTAGGTGAGCTCTTTGGGTTCAGGGTGAGGCAGACCGAACTTGCCCTGGGTCTCTGTTCCTCCTCCCACTTCCTGTGGGCCCTGCCTCCACATGTACATACACAGTCTCTTCCCTTTGACTTTTCCACAGTTCTCCAACCTCTACAACTCCTCCCTTCTTTGGGGTGACCACCAAATTTGCCTTTCCTGGCCTCTCTCGCTCTTGAATTGAATAGCCTGCTAGGTCTCCCATGGACAGCTCCCCATCTCTAAGCTCATAGGATTCTTTTTTCAATCTAAGATCCCTTGTGTGCCTAAACACTTTGAATGTCTTCCATCGCTTCCAAAGACCATGCTTCCATCAGCCTCCTAATATTCTGTTCATCCATTTAGCCTACAGATCCTGAAGTATATATACACAATATGTATTTTATATGTGATATATGACATATATAATATATGTATATATTATATATGATATATGACTTATATCATATATAATATATGATGTATGACATATATTATATGTGTGTGTGTGTATATGTAAAATCTTTCAGGATTGGGTACAGAGCTAAAGACTGTAAAGGACCATGAGTCTTGTTCTTTGTCCTTCAGAGCTCCATTTGGGTACCAGTACCAGTCGAAGAGGGAGGTGAGAGGAGTAGGGGAGGAGAGGGGGAGGGGAAGAGAAACAGATTGAGACAGAGAGAGAAGGAGGGAGAGAGTAAAAGAGAGAAGAGGAAGAGAGGGAGAGGGGAAGAGAGAGAGAGAGAAAGTTTTCCTTCAACAGGAACACTCCCTTTGCCCTCAGACAAAGCAAAGGGGGAAAGAAAGGGAATAGAAACAGGTTGAGACATAAAGAGAGGGAGAGGCAGGAAAGAGGGAGACGGGGAGAGAGAGACAGAAGAGGGGAAAGGGGAAGAAGGCGAAAAGAGACATAGATTGAGATAGAGAGGAAGAAGCAGGGAAGAGGGAGAGAAAGGGGCAGGAGAGAGAGAGAGAGAGAAGGATAAGGAGGAGGAAGAGGAGGAGGAGGAAGAAAAGGAGGAGAAGGAAGGAGGGGAGGCGATGGGAGTTTATCACAATTAGACAGGGATTCCTGAAGGCCCTGGGGGTGGAGTCTGTCCTGAGAGGCAAGAAACCAAGGATATGCGCAGAGTCCCTTTCTGAGTGATCTAAAGCCCCATCTCCTGGGGCTGGAGTCTGTCCTGAGAGGCAAGAAACCAAGGATATGTACAGAGTCCCTTTCTGAGTGATCTAAAGCCCCATCTCCTGGGCATCACCGAGAGCCCGAGAAGGGCAGACCCAGACTGGGAGGTTTTCCTATCCTGCCGCGTCTTCTCCCAAGTCTCCCATCAGGGCCTGCCTAAAGAGGCAGGCAGCTCTCGCTGCACATCCAGATACATTTTGATCCTGGCGAGCCCCAGGCATCGGAGGTGGCGCTGTCCCTGGTGCTGAAGCAGGGCTGTGTCCCTGGTTTAGGAATGACTGGGCTGTGCAGAGGAGTCTGACTAGATAGGATCCCGATCTGGGATCTCTACTAAAAATACAGAAATTATCCAGGTGTAGTCACGGGTGCCTGTAATTCCAGCTGCTCGGGAGGCTGAGGCAGGAGAATCACTTGAACCTGGGAGGTGGAGGTTGCAGTGAGCCGAGATAGTGCCATTGCCCTCCAGCCTGGGTGTCACAGTGAGACTCCATCTCAAAAAAATAAATAAATAAATAAATTAAATAAAATAAATTTTAAAAAAGGGTGCAGCACAGTGTATCAAGGATGTTTTGTGTGTAAAAAAGCATGCTCACATGAAATTTTTATATTTACTTCTAGATGAAGATACACATGCATAAGGCATCTCTGGATGAATGTATCCAAAACAGTTTACAATGGAGGCCTCAGAGGAAGCAAACTAGGAATCTGGAGGGCGGAGGTGAGACAGGTGCATTCTATACATGCCCACTTACGTCTTTTCTTTGTGAGATCATGTGAATATATTGCCTGGGAAAAATTATTAAATTAAAATTGTTGAAAAGTAGAGAGGAGAGGCTGAATGAAGAGGCAGGAAGGCAACATCTGATTCTCAGATTTGGTTCTGTTAGTGTTGGTGAAAGAGCTGAGAAGTTCCAGAAAGCTGCCAGGCCGGACACAGTGGCTCATGCTTGTAATCCCATCACTTTGGGAGGCTGAGGCCAGCAGATCGCTTTGAGCTCAGGAGTTTGAGACCAACCTGGGCAACATGGTGATTCCTCGTCTCTACAAAAAAATACAAAAATTAGCCAGGTGTTGGTGGCTTGCACCAGTAGTGCCAGCTACTTGGAAGGCTTAGGCAGGAGAATTGCTTGAACCCAGGAGGCGAAGGTTGCAGCGAGCCAAGTTCGCACCACTGCACTCCAGCCTGGTGACGGAGCAGGACTCCATCTCAAAGAAAAAAAAAAAAAAAAAGATTTGACGATAAGAAAGTCTTTGTCGTCGTGGTGAGATGAGGGAGTGTTCCCTGGCACTGAAACAGGGGACAGAGGATTTAGATTTAGGAAGTCTTCTGCCACCTGACCTGTGCTGGAATTCCTGGTCTCAGCCCTCCTGTCGTGCAAGCTCTGAGACTTAGACTCTATTCTGAGGTGTTGGAGGTGCCCTCCCACCCTAATCACAGTCTTGGAAAGGACAGTTTGTCTCCTACCTGTGTTATTTCCATGGAAGACACATGGTGAGGTTCTGTGGAGCATCTGAATTCAAAAGATGACACGTCCCTCTTCAGTTTTGAGGGTTAGGGGAGCGTCCTTTTGGTCCTTTCCCCTGCCCAGAATCCAGGACTCCACTCCAAGTATCCCATGCCCTGACTCTCTTCCCACGGCCACTGCCCAAAATAACTCAGACTCACAGGAGACTTTGAGTTGGACGGTCATCTCTGCGGTCACATTAAACCTTGGGAAAGTCACTTGGCAGGTGGTATTGGAGCCGTGGCTCCAGGGATGTGGGATGATGGTGATCTCTGAGAAGTGAGGTGTCCCAGGGCCCAAGGAAATGACGGTTCCCCATGTCCAGGAAAAGGTGAGAGGCTTCCTGCTTTTACAGGCTGCTGACACGTAGCAGGTCAGGTTCACAGGATGGCCAGATTCCAGAGTTGCTGGGACTTGGATGTCAGGTGTCTGGGTGAGGGCTGGGAGGGAGAGAGGCAGAGACCTGGACACAGAGAGGGGACTTCCAGGGTGCGACCTCAGAAGTGGCCTCTGTCCTGGCCCCAGGGATGGCTCCCCCATCTGAGCCCTAGGCTCCTGGACACAGGCACCCCTACCTGTCACGTTCAAAGACAGTGTCTTTTGCTTGAAGCTGGACCCCTCTCCAACCGAAAGAAATACACTCTGTCATCTTTCCTCCTGGTGTCTCTGACGCTCAGGGAACAGTTGTTGGTCTGGGGGTCCCCAAGGAAATGGAAATGGTCCTGGCTTCTCTCTTGCAGCTTCTGGCCGGGTTTGTTTGTGGCCACGGGAGGATCCCAGTGTTCATTGTCCCCTTTCTGGAACCAGAAGATGTAGAGTGGGTCTGAGTGACTCCATCCGTCACTGGGGTAGGAGAAGGAGCAGGGCACCAGGACACACAGGCCCTCCTGCACTGTCACCAGCTCTGGAATCTGCAGCTCATACCCCATGTGGTCCTCCAGGGACCCTGTGGAGAGCACAGCATTTAGGCTTGTAACATTGAGCTCCAGCCAACCCTCTCGACTCTGCCCAGCCCCCTCACTTCCCCACAGCAGTGACAGCAGTAGCAGCAGGGATGGCATCTCTGAGACTGGAGGGGCTGTTTACAGCCCCTTTCAGACCACCTGAGGAGCCCTTCCCAGCACACACCTGGTATCTATTTTGAGTTTTCGCCTCAAACCCTTCCCTCCAACAGAAACACCCAAACCACGTTTGGGGAAGTGAAGGCTGAGGCCTATTCACCGCAGGGCCAAGCACACCCTAGCAGGGAACTTTCTTCCTTTTGCTTCCCCACTCAGACCTCAGATTATGTCCCCTGAAGCCAATTCTTCACCTTCCCTCAGGAGAGCTGTGGATTTGGGGACATTCTCCCACCGTGCAGGAAAGGAGATGTTGGAAGCTGGGTCCCACCTGGGACTGATTCCTCCTATTCCATGCTCATCCTCAGATCTGGGCATGCTGGGAGCCCTGAGAAGCCCTGGCTGAGCTCTCGAAGTTCTCTGAGCAGGAAAACCCGTGGTGCTGGGGTTGAAGCTTGGGGGCCATGAATGGAGTCCCTGACTTAGGTGGGATATTTGCTGCTTTCTGATGCTTGTTTGGGTTCAGGGAGGAGCCTGGGCTTGCCTCACAGACCTTTCTTGGGTTTCTGTGTGAGCTCTGCCTTTGCTGTGGGGCGTTTTTTCTTCCAGAAAGAACCCAGGAAGCATTGCCATTTACTGCTCTCACTGCCCTGAACCCCTGCTCTCCTATCCCTTGGATTTCTTCTTTCTCTTTGCAGGCTGTTTCAGCAGCTCCTGACACCCCTCCTTCGTGCTTTACCCAGTCCCCACTCCACTAAGACCGCAACATCTCCCTTCCTCATCCTGCCTCCTCCCAGTAGACATCTGGCCTATGGGCTGCCTTCCAGAAAACTATCTGGCTTGTGGTTACATGAAGCCAGAGTCCACTTCTGGTTATGAGCACATGATCTTTCTGGGCCAGATAATGTGTGTTTAGCTTGATCCTAAATGAGTTTCAACCTAACACCGTCATCTGCCCTCTCCTACCTGAGTCTGAATGTCAGCTACCCATCCATTTGACACGTATGAGCACCTTTGACCTGTCCCAGAAATGGCCTCACAATGACCTGTTTCAGAAATGGCATCAAGGGTAAAGATGATCAAGGCATCAAGGGTAAAAATGACCACATCAAGACCCCTCCTACCCAAGAAGACATGGGATAACAGAGAACCAATCCTGCTAGTGACAGTGGAGCTATGGTTTCTAGGACGAGAGTAGATGAAGAGGTTTGCTGGCTGCTATAACAGGATCCAGTAAAGGGGCTGGCCCTAAGGGGTGAATGTACAAATTCCTCCCTCAACCCCTGAGGAGTCTGACTGGCACTTCTGATATTTGGGGCTCAGGATGTTAAAAACTATAGAAAATATTAATTCCCCACTCATAATGTAATTCGCATGTACTATTCCCATATGTGCAAATTAACTCTTCACTGTGAACATAGGCAACTTGGCATTCCACACTCAACTGGCTTAAGGGCAGACTAGCAGTCCCACGGAGCTGATGTTCCCAAGAGCACCCCTCAGCCTATGTTGGTGGATAACACCTGGTGTGGGAGTGAGTGAGAAAGATCCCAGTAGAATAGCCTTTCTCCTCCCCACTCCTTCTTCCTCCACCCATGAAGGCTATTCTTTATTCAAGAGAGACATGAAATTGGGGCAGAAGTGTGCTAAGAAATATTTAACAACTGGATTTCCAAAAAATACATATTCATGATAAATTTTACTGATATAAAGTATGTGTAGCACACTGTTGAGCACCCAATTCTGTCGCTATTTGGGGTGCCACTACGTAACCCTCATGGACCTAGGGGGACTGAACAAAGTGGGGCCAACGTGGGAATAAAAGACAAGAGACAGAAGAGTATATTTGGAAGAAGGCGTTGGGGGCACCTTGCCTCTAGTGGACAAGGGCCCTGAGCTTTACACAGCCCTCCGTATTTATTAGGCAAAAGAGATAGCGAGAAGTGGGGTGGAAGAAGAGGTCAGCTGCTTGGTCCAGAGTAGGCTTGCAAGACTGCGTTCTTTAGATGTCCCAGTAGATAACTTCAAGGAGCTCGGCGCCAGGAAGTGATTGCCCTCAGCAAACCTTCTGGCAGCGGGAGTATTCGTGAGTTTGCCCACATCCTGCATTCATGATAAACAGTTTGCTGTTTGATCATATAGCCTCCAGTGGAATGCTGAGTTGGTCACATCCCACGGGGCTTCGTCTCCCTGCAGCACATAACTTTTAAAGGATAATAAAATGTACTATACTTTTTATTGTAAATTCCACATAGTCAACTGATTCTTACAGAATGCTTTCAGTGATTTTTCTGAACTTTTGCAACTTTAGCTAACTTATAATGGCAATTGATGAACAGTACACTGTGTAGTTATGAATGTTGGTTGATATTTTCATTTACTTTAAGGAGTAAGATGAAACAGAAATAATGAGATGTATGGTGGGATTTTATTGTTCTGTCAATGACAGGAGTAAACTCTTTGCTGAATCAGATAAGAGGTTTGGAATATCTACATTAGAAGAATATTTCCTGAATTTTTATGCTATTTATAATGTAATGACTGCAGATATTAACATTCTCTAAGTTGCATTATTAACATTTTATCCATCACTATATCAAGTGTAGACAATCAATAAAATGATAAATGAAGACTTGATGGATGGTATTTGCCAATTTCTGCAGTGTAAACACTTCTATCATGACTGACTTCAAGCTACAAATGTGAGTTGTGTAAAAATATAATTTCTGATTATTTCCTTAGAAGATATTTTTAGCAGAAACTGGATCACCTTTTCAAGGGAAAGTAATATGTTTGCAAGACAATGATGAGTATTTACAAACTGCTTTCAAAAATGGCTGTAACAGGCCATGCACAGTGGCTCACACCTGTAATCCTAGCACTTTGGGAGGCCGAGATGGAAGGATTGCTTGAGGCCAGGAGTTTGAGAAAATGGCTGAAACAGTCCCTTTCCCCAGTCTTGAATGAGAGTAACCATTGCCTCTCTAGCTTCAGGAATTATTAATTTTTTCAGTTTTGTTAATCGGCAGTTTGGATAGTCATTCCAGACACCAGAATAAAGGAGATCACATCCCTGATTAAAACCTGTCAGTGACCTTCATTCCTCCAGGCAAAGCCCTCAACCATTTTCCCACATAAACCCTAAGCAGACTAAGAATCTCACTTTCATAGACTTGCCCAAAGTTTGTCTTCAGGCCACATGCAATTTCCAAGGGCTCCTCTTCCTCTGCTTCTGAGGAAGATGTAATATCAGAATATGAATGAATGAGAATGATATTCTTAGAAACTTAATATTGGATCCATTTGAACAGATCAATAATTGAACTTTGGGAAAACTTCAGCACATTTCCTTAGCATCCAATTTCTTGTGATGCAAATCATAACTATTAATTTGCATTTTGTTTTCTAATCGTGTATCTCAGAATGATGAAGCCTCTTTTTACCAGATATCTTAGAATAGGTTTGCTTAAAATGAGATATATGAAAGAAAAGGGTCATTTTAGTCAGTGGGTGAGCATTTATCCTTAGCTATAAATGAAGGTGATAAACAGTTTCATTTCTGTATATAGAATGTTCTGTTCAATACTGTATTTTTGGGGTGAAGTTTCTTTTAATGTTCTTGGTTGTTTACTTTCTTTGATTTCCAGGAAAAAAAAAAAACGGGCACAATTGGTATCAGAGATTTTGAGTGCAGGCATCTTGTTGAGATCATTATTTAACAAGGCGTTGAGTCATGCAGGCAGTAGATTGGTTTGAAGTTGGTCAGGATGAGAGTTCTTGGCATAGTTTAAAGCGAAGCATTTGAAATTCTGAAGTCCTCATAAGTTGCAATCAGTTGTCTTTATTTTTTGAAGCACTTTAATTTTGAAGCACTTTAAGTTTCAAGAACCAGAATTGTTTTTCTTTTTCTTTTTTGACTTTCATCTACACAAGATTTTTTGTCTTTATTTTTTGAAGCATTTTAATTTTGGAGCACTTTATTTAAGTTTCAAGAGACAGAATTCTCTTTCTTTTTCTTTTTTGACTTTTATCTACAGAAGATATATGAAGATTCATAGTCAGAAAGTTTTGTCTGTCTTCTTGAGGAATAGCCAACTCCAATCTTAAAAAACTCTTCTAGAATGTCCTAATCAAATTTTTTAACTTCTAAAGATTAGATGAAATAAAAAAAAGCAACCACAGACTGGAAGAAAAATGTTTGTGATATGTATATCTCTCAAAGACTTATTTTTAGAATATATAAAAAATTCTCACAACACAATAATTTTAAAACACAATGAAAAATGGGTGGAAGATTTGAGGAGGTGCTTCAGCAAAGAGGACAAATGAGTGGACATTCAGCACTTGAAAAAATGCTTGATCTGGGAAATGCAAATTAAAACTACTAAAAGATACCACTATGAGATACTCACTAAAACATATGAAATTAAAAAGACTAATAATACTAAGTATTGATAAGGCAGTGGAGCAACTAGAATTATCATGCATATGATAAAAGATATCTATTAAAACCTATACCAACTCACACTATAAATAAGGAAAATTGAGGAGCATTCTCATTTGAATCAGCAACAAGACAAGGATGCCCACTGTCACCATTATTACTTGACATTATTAAAGAGGTTATAGCCAACAAGGTAAAACCAGAAAAATAAGCAAGAAATGTAAAAATTAGAAACTGAGAAATATTTCCAGTATTTGTAGATGATGTTCAGGTTCCCATAGATTTTAACATCATAATCTAATAATAGAAATGAGACCCATAACTTTTGCCATATTCTGTTGGTAAGAAGCAAAATCTTAGGTTCTGTTTGCACTCAAAGGGATGGATTTACACAAGGTGTGACTCAGTAGGGGTCACCTTAGGGTATGCCTGCCCCACTAAGAGTATTATGAGCAGTTACCCTTCTTCCTGCAGACATACAGATGTCCCAGTAGAGGGACTCCTTCACTTGCCCTGAATATACACATGCTGGGCTATTGTATTTAAAGTTTCCTACTTCTATCTCAATTTTCACTCTTTGCATTTTCCTTTTTTAAAAATAAAATGTACCAAGACTGTAGGGTAAAACCTATCACACAGTAAAGAATAGTCTCAGATTTATAAGTGGAGAAAATTCAAAAGTTCTAAATCCGGGGAATTTTTTAGTAACTCAAGTATAATGTTACACTTTCTCACACAGTAAAGAGAAGGATTTTTATTGCTTTTACACTATTTGCTTACAGTAAATATATAATTGATTTTTTCAAATAAAAGCAGGTTTCATGCTTCATGTAACAAAGTCAGGTTCAGGTACTAATTGTGAAGACTGAACTATTCCTGGGGAACGATGTTCAAAAACATGCTTCATTGGCTAAACAGTCTTATTTTATGATTCCAATGGACTAAAAATGAGGTATAAAGTAATTAAAAGTAATATGGTGACTTTAAGTGTAGAGAAGCAGTGGCAGAAGCTGTGAATACAGAATGTAAAATCGGTAACTACAAAATGGCAGAAACAGCTAAAGCAATATATTTAAATTTTCTTTTAAAAAAGAAGGCCGGGCGCGGTGGCTCACGCCTGTAATCCCAGCACTTTGGGAGGCCGAGATGGGCGGATCACGAGGTCAGGAGATCGAGACCATCCTGACTAACACGGTGAAACCCCGTCTCTACTAAAAATACAAAAATTAGCCGGGCGCGGTGGCGGGCGCCTCTCACGGGAGGCTGAGGCAGGAGAACGGCGTGAACCCGGGAGGCGGAGCTTGCAGTGAGATCGTGCCACCGCACTCCAGCCTGGGCGACAGAGCGAGACTCTGTCTCAAAAAAAAAAAAAAGGAAGGATCATTTCAGATCTTCACCTTCAGATCCTCACTCAGCCCTGCCTCCTATTTCCCACTAATCAGTCATTTTTTTAAATTTTACGATTGCTATCTCCCACCTTCTAGAATATATTTTTGTTTATTTGATTGAACAGCCTCTTCCTGAAAATTCTGTGCAGTTGGACTGGCTGACATTGTTCTCAGTAATTGTGTTTTTTTCCTTTAACTTGATTGTATTTTTTTTCATTCTCCTCTCTTGAATGAAGTGTCCCGAGAGCCCTAAATTCTCTCTTCAGGTGGTCTCCTGGTAGGTAACTTCATCAATAGGTTCATCCAGATATAGAGAGCAGTGGTGTAAGGATAACAAAGATAACAATTTCTCAGAAAGATAACATTTTCAAAAGTGCTATTAAAGACAGTGAGTTGTTTAGCAATTCAGGAAAAAAAAAAATCAGAGGCGAAAATACAGAGAAAAAGTATTTTTCAGAATACAGAATGTCAGTTTCTTCTAGAAATATATATACACAGTATTGAATAGGTCCCCTGCCAATGTGGGACCCAAGACTTTTACTCTGTGACATTCCGTTTGCCCTTCTTGGCTGTACGGAATAAAAACTCTTTTGACGATGGCGACCTCCAATATCATAATCCGTATGGGTACGGCCATGCAGTCCTCCCGACGAAGTTTCTGAAGTTGAATGAACCACGGAATAAAGGTACGCCGTTTTACGCCATGATGACTGTTGGCGGAGCGTAGCTTCAAAAGTGTTAGTGGGCATGCGCGCGGTTCGGTAGCGGGCGCAGAAACCCTAAAGGGAATGTAACCCAAACCGGAAGTGGCCTAGAGCGGCCATTTCGCTTCCGTTGTTAAACGGATCTAAGCCTGTGCGGCTTACGGGATGCTGAAGTGGTTGGGAATATTAGCAGTGGGGGTTCTGTAGGGTCAGGGAGGGGAAGCCAGCTTTGAGTGAGTGATGAGGGGCTTGTTGCGGCGGGGAGGTGCGTGATAAAGGGATTTCTTGGCTGAAGAGGGGGCTGTGAGGTAAGTGACAGGCCTGTTTTGGCTGAGCGATGGGGGGTTTCTGGAGTGGGTGAGGGGTGCTGTGGGGTAAGTGGCTTTTGCTAATTTTAGTTGGATAATTAGCTGGTTAATTTTCCCTCTTTTCTTGCTTATTTTCTGCTTGTAATAAGTATTTTTGTGACTTAAATTACAAGTGTACTTTAATACCGGATATTATATTGGTCCACGAAACTTGCTAACTTGAGGACAGCGAACGTGCGTCTTAAGAGCGCCTTTGCAGATGGTGCTGGAGGACGTTCAGGGAAGGGATTCACTCTCCGTGGGACTCAAGAAATTAGTGATTGATTGGCACCCAAGAGCTTCAGAGGTTGGAGGCCTTTGAGGATCACATTGTAACACTCAGGGGACCAGTGATGGGCGACCTATAGTAATCAGTAGAGTGGGATTCCCAGGAGTAGCCTATGGCAGCCAGTTGACTGGAGGCATAGGGGGTTAATGATGGGGATTTGTGAGGGTGACTGCATTGCTTTCTAGGCAGTGAGTGTTGGGGTCCTTCAGGGATTGGTGAGTGGGGTAGTGTTGGCCTCTTCTTGGGTCCTTCGATATGGTAAGGATCGGTAATTGACAGTTGAGCAGATCGACGATGGTCTCCTATTGGAGCATTTCATTTGGACCCCTATGTTGGAGATTATTTGTCGTTTTATGGAAACCAGAAAATTGTACTCGCTGGGAAACATTTCTTGGCTATCAGGGCAGTAATGATTTCAGAAGCCTGGGCCATGTCAGTGACTGGGAGGCATTATGGAACTTTCTGGCAGCCCTGTAGTCCACTCATTGGGGATTTCTGAAAGTCACTGCTGTCAGTGATTGCATTCAGGTGCCGTGGGGGCAACTTATTGTGGACAGGCAAGAAATGGTAATTGGTGGCCCTGATGCATGTCTGCAAATTTTCTGCGTCAAGGTGGGGATTGGGACAGTGATTTTAAGTTTTAGCTCTAGTCAGAAGAGGCTGGTCTGTGTGGTGTGTTATGGATGGGGACTGAAAAGTCCAGAAGCTCAGAATAGGTACACCAGACAAAGCCACCTCCCAGCCTGAGCTCTATGAAGGCAACAGGAAGAGGAAATGGTGTTTCCGGAAGCTGGCTATGTAAGGGTGCATGAGATAGTGGGGACAGTGTACAGTTTAGAACAAGGCAGATGTGGGCTGATTCCCTGTTTTTCCGTTTACAGACTGAGTAATCTTCAGGCAAATTATGTAACAGCCTCATTATCTTCATCCCCAAAATGGGTGTAATAATGCCCATGATATTTAGCTGACAATTAAATTGACAAATTTCTCTTTTTTATTCATATTTACCACTTGCCAGGCAGGCACTGAGGACTTGACAAGCTTCATCTTGCTTGAGTTTCCCAACACTTGTGATTAAATACCTGCATTTTCATTTTGGAAACTATAACTAAAGTAATATTTTCACATTCTCTCAGTGAAAAGTTGGCAAAGCTGCAATGAATTCATCATTTAGTCCAGACTCAGTCTTTATTTTTAACCCTGACTAATAACTAGAGTTGGGCTTTCTGAACTTTGCCTACTCCAGGGTCTGACACAGTGACTTCACCTCAGTGCCCTCAGGAAATATTTGTGGAGTGAATGTTGAATGAGTGACCATGTACTCATTGCTTTTCCGAGGCTTCTGCAGAATCCCCGGGTCAGGCCACCTCATTGAGGCTGCAGGATCTCTCTTCATAGCCCAGCACGCCTCTCGGAAGTGTCCCTGGTTGGAGAATCCAAACAGCTATCCAGCTTCTGGCTCCTGGGAAAAGTGGAGTTGTCAGCAAGAGAGACCAAGAGTAGAAGTCCAGAGCGGAGATGCCTGCTGATGTGAATTTATCCCAGAAGCCTCAGGTCCTGGGTCCAGAGGAGCAGGATGGATCTTGCGAGGTAAGCAGGGGCAGCCCTGGGGACAGTTCTCCAGAACGTGAGGGCAGACACAGGATGCAGCAGGCTCTGGGCTCCCTGCTCCTGAGTCAGTCTTGAGCCTCCTGTCAAGTGAGGACCACAAAGGCTGATGTTTCCACATTCATAGGCTATCTGTATTCTAGAGGAAACCATGAATTGGCTAATAAAAGAGGATAGTAGAGGGTTGGCCTTGGGTCAAGAAAGAAGAAACTGTAGTCCTTGGTCTGATCAACAGCCCCAGTCATAGGACGGAAAAGCTGACGCTTTCCCTCTAAGCACTTGGTCCGCTCCTTCATCCACCGTTGGGTCTTTGAAGAATTTCAAGTGGTCCCCACCCAAATTCCTTGCTTGGTCCATGGAGATTGGCCCATTTTACCTCTCTTCTCATAAGGTGCAGAAAAAGCTTCCTTTGTAGTTTAAATAGTCACAGGGAGGTAGAGCGAGAACAGGCCTTTAAGGACCATGTTGTTTTTCCTGTTTAAAAAGGTGAATAAAAAATGCTGGAAAATAGTGTCTCGAGATTGCCCACAGATAGTCAGGATTTAGTAACAAGAAATAGTCAGGATTTAGTAACAAGAAATCAGCATTATTGGTGTAGTCAAGATTTCCTGAAATCCTAAATTATTCTGTGTATCTCTTGATGCTTTATTTACAAGTCTTTAAATAGCATATTACTATAGTAGTAAACAGTGCACCATTGTTCTGTGATAGATTTATACCCAAATTTACAGAGATGTTGTTTTTTAAAAAAGTATAATAAATGCGTGTTATTATCCTGAACCAGTATCGTGAGACGATTATATATTTCAGTAACCTTTTAAAATCATCTCAACCTGCTAGAAACATTTGATAATAGAAAGTATTAAAAAAAAAAGGGAACATTAACACAAAATAAATTGCACATATAAATCATTTTCAAAATTGTAAATACCCTAGATATTTACAAGTCATTCTTAAAAGAAAAATTGAAACATGCAAGTTTAGGTGGGGTATGGTGGCTCATGCCTGTAATCCCAGCACTTTGGGAGGCCAAGGCGGGCAGATCACTTGAGCCCAGGAGTTGGAGACCAGCCTGGGCAACACGGTGAGACTCTACAAAAATATAAAAATTAGCCAGGTGTGGTGGCATGCACCTGTAGTCCCAGCTACTCAGAAGGCTGACGTGGGAGGTCACCTGAGGTTGGGGAGGTCGAGTTTGCAGTGAGCTGCAATCGTGACACTACACTCCAGCCCAGACAGCAGAGTGAGACCCTGTCTCAAAACAAAACAAAACACGTTTAAAACATGAAATTGTCTAAGTCTTTGTGACAGCAGTGCAAATGCACAAACGTTTCTCTCATTTGCATTGATGTTGGTCAACTTGTATGTTCAGAACCTCTTCAAGTTTAGTGTTTTAGGACACATGTTCAATATAAGCTTTTTTCTTTAACAATGAAATTTTTTTTCCTGCTTGACCTGATTTCCAGTTTGTCATTTAAATCAATACTGCTGTCGCTAATTCAGATTTTCCACCAGTGTCTGAATTCATGTCAGAATATATCCCAGTACCATTCATGTTGTCTTCTCTTTGTGGTGCGTATTTCCTTCTGCTCTGGACAGTACTATTTTTATGTTGTTGTTTTTATCTTTTCTAATTCGATGGAAATAAAGATATTATAGTGTTTTAATTTGCATTACTTTGTTTACAAACAGCATTTTTTTCATAATTTTATTGGTCAGTTGTCTTTAGTGAGTTACTTTTTCACACTTTTTGATTTATATTTTGGTTTGGATTTTTAGAGAGTTCTTTTCTCTTTTTTGAGACGGAATCTTGCTCTGAAGCCCACAATGGAGTACAGTGGTGCAATCTCTGCTCACTGCAGGCTCCACCTCCCGGGTTAACACCATTCTCCTGCCTCAGCCTCCCGAGTAGCTGGGACTACAGGAGCCCACCACTACCCCCGGCTAATTTTTTGGTATTTTTAATAGAGACGAGGTTTCCTCATGTTAGCCAAGATGGTCTTGATCTCCTGACCTTGTAATCTGCCCGCCTCAGCATCCCAAGAGAGTTCTTACATAGTAATAACCTAGGGTCCTTTTTGCATATGTTTATAATACTTTTTGTTACTTTTTCCTTTGAAAGTAGGTTTTAGTTTTATTTGAACATAGAAAAGAGGATCAGATGGTTTTGTGAAGCCTGTAATCTTTTAAAAGAGCTGTTACTTGCTGTATTTTTACCCAAGTTCCAGCTCCTCCCAGGCAATCACATTTTACATTTTTAGCTAATTATTTCGGCATTTACCTCCTAATCTTTTAGTGACATGCCTATATTGCTGCCTCTTGGATTGTTAATTAACATGTTAATTAATTAAGAAACATGTCATTAAAAGGTTTGCTTTTACTTCCTCATACTTTCACCCCCAACACCTGCTTTCCTTGCCCATCCTCCTCTAAGAACTGGTTCAGATTCTGATCAGGTCAATATTCCTTGTTTATTATTATGACTGTGTCAATCTATATTCAGAACTGCCTATATAGACTGTGCTAACTTGTTGCCTGCATAACTTAAGGGTTTTCCCTGGAGCACACAATTTTATGGATTATTTACTTGCCTATATACATGTTAATGTATTATACAATTTTCTCCAAGTGTGTACACACTCTCTTCATAAATTGAATTTGTTACTAGGTAATGGCAGCAGACACTCGCTATTTCAGGGACAGTTTTGTGTGTGTGTGTGTGTGTGTGTTTTGAGACAGAGTTTCGCTCTTGTCTCCCAGGTTGGAGTGCAATGGCGTGATCTCAGCTCACTGCAACCTCCACCTCCCGGGTTCAAGCGATTCTCCTGCCTCACTCTCCTGAGTAGCTGTTACATCATATTAGGTGCACTTTAGTATCTGGTTATCTCTCTCCTTGTGATAAAATTGACGATTGGGTTCAGATATTGTCAGCCCACTCCTCCATTATAAAGACCCCATCAGTCTTTCATATGGTTTTAGCAGTCATTGGTGATCAGTAAAAGTGATATTTTTGTTTTGTCCTTCAGGCTGCATTTATCATCTGTGATACTTCTGTAATGAAGACCTTTCCATCATCAGTCCTTTCATGAACCTAATATTGGTTCTTATAGGAAAGATCATCTTGTTGAAATATTATATGATCACATCTCTTCCCTGCACTTAAAATCCTGAAATGGCAATCCATTCATTAAAATAAATAATCCGTACCCATTATATATTCAGACACCAGCCCACTTCCTTGGAGTTTGGATGGTAACCACTTTCCAAACATGACATAGTTGCCTCTTATCTTACACAGAGGTGTCTGCTTCTCCCTGAAGTCACAGTATTTTCCTACCTCTCTACTTTTATTCATGCTCTTTTCTGGAAAATGATTTCCTTCGCACATCCTGCATCAAAGTTCTTACTTCCAGTGTAAGCTGCGCCAACTCTAAGTAGCATTACCTTCTACTGCTGGGTAGAATTTGCCTTTCCCTAATTTGCCCCTCCCCAACGGTGTCCTCTCATATATTTCTACCATGTTCCCTTTTTAACCCCATAGTTGAGCTTTTGTATTTACATGTCTTCCAAGTCTCTGAGTTGCTCCAAGAGTAGAAGCTTATGTAATTCTATGTTGAGCACCAGGACCCAGCTTAAGTACAGCCTCACGTGTAGTTGCTTCATCAACATCATGCTGGTTATTCCTAAATTAGCTAGAGGACTTAGAGGGAACCCATTTCTGGCCTCATTTTTGAAAAAAAAAATATGAATTAATCAATGTAGGTATACAGTGGATGGAGGATATTTCTCTAATTTTTTAAAATCCCTAAAAATGTGAAATAGGTGTTTGGTGGGAAGCCTCTGTGATGGATCATGGTGAAAATCATTAAAAGTATGTTCCTCCTATATGTGCCATCCCCACTCACCAATGATGACCTAATTCACAGTGAGCTGGGGTACACTGTTACAGGCATCACTGTCGTTTGAGGACGTGACCGTGGACTTCAGCAGGGAGGAGTGGCAGCAACTGGACCCTGCCCAGAGACGCCTGTACCAGGATGTGACGTTGGAGCTCTATAGCCACCTCTTCTCAGTGGGTGAGCACAACTGACCTGGGAATCTTGGCTGGATCCTGTTGAGGAGATTTCCTTCCTCCTCTTTGCAGGACACAGTGGGATATCAAAGTATGTCATGACTCTTTCCTTGGTTTATCCTGGATTGTTTGTTTCTTTTGGGCATCTTTCAGTATTACTTTGTGTCCATGTTGACTTTTCTAATGAGCCAGTGTAAAGCTTCACTGAATGGCCTCTAAAACTGAAGAAGCTACACCCAAATCCAGTATCCTTTCTAATTAACAGGGTATCACATTCCCAACCCAGACGTCATCTTCAGAATGCTAAAAGAAAAGGAGCCATGTGTGGAGGAGGCTGAACTCTCACATCAGAGGTATCAAGGTGAGTAAGTTGTACCCCGGCAAATGTAGATATCTTTGCAGGGAACCACTACCAGTCTACCATACTACTCCATTCCCTCCATTCCCCCAGTGATGGCCCATAGGTTGCCTCCTACTCCCAGTTTCTACATCAAACACTGTAAATATTCTATAAATTCTGAATGTCCTATAGGGGCTGCCTTAAGAATTTCCCAGTGGTAAATAGGAATGGGATTGCCTGGTTCTGGAGATAAGTATACTTGACTAAGTCAACCATATTGCTCTTCTGATGGGCTGATGGGCTGCACCAGTTCACGCTCCCATGTGCAGTGCACAAGGATTTGCATTTGCACATCTTGCTTGCTAACACTTGGCATTAACAAAATTGGTGAATTTATAGCCCTACTGATGGGTGAAAGGGCTGTTTTATTGGTTTTTGTTTTTGGTTTTGGGTTTTTTGAGACAGAGTCTCGCTCTGTCACCTAGGCTGGAGTGCAGTGGTGTGATCTTGGCTCACTGCAACCTCTGCCTCCTGGGTTCAAGCAATTCTCCTGCCTCAGACTCCTGAGTAGCTGGGACTACAGGCTCACACTCAGCTAATTTTTTGTATTTTTAGTAGAGATAGGGTTTCACCATGTTAGCCAGGATGGTCTCGATCTCCTGACCTCATGATCCGCCTCCCAAAGTGCTGGAATTACAGGCGTGAGCCACCACGCCCAGCCTGTTTCGTTGTTGAAGTGTTATTTTTCTAATAACTGAATGAGAGCCTCTCATCTGTTATCTGATTGGCTTTTTCATTTGTTCGTTACATTTTCTTATCATTTATCTATTTGTGTCCATGGAGTTTTCTGCCTTTTTTTTTTCTATTTTTTTGCCCCTAATTTTATTGATTTTCTATCAGAAAATCAATATTGGTCTTCTTTTCCTCCCAATTGTGATACCTCTAGCTTGGGGCCCTGTTCTTCCATATGGGCCTCTTTCTCCCCTCCCCTCCCCTCCCCTCCCCTTCCCTCCCCTCTTCTCGACAGAGTTTCACTCTTGTTGCCCAGGCTGGAGTGCAATGGCACAATCTTGGCTCACTGCAACCTCCGCCTCCCGGGTTTGAGTGATTCTCCTGCCTCAGCCTGCTGAGTAGCTGGGATTACAGGCATGCACCACCATGCCTGACTAATTTTGTATTTCTAGTAGAGACGAGGTTTCTCCTTATTGGTTAGGCTGGTCTCGAACTCCCGACCTCAGGTGTTCCACCTGCCTCGGCCTCCCAAAGTGCTGGAATTCCAGGCATGAGCCACCGCGCCTGGCTATGGGCATCTTTTCATACAGGAATTGACTTAAAGGACCTATCCATTCTGAATTCTCAGTCCTCATATTTTTATTCTAATGATTTCTATGTCAGTACTTCTAGTCTCTGTGCTTAAACTGTGTTCTGCTACCTGCTTAGCTCCATGGAGGACAGTTCCCGTGAGATGACTCACTTTCTTAATTTTGGGAGATCAGAAATTGGAATCATCATCATCCAAATAAGAAATTCTTACCTGACAAATTTTGTCAGATTTTTCTGTGTTTCTGGGCTCAGAAACACAGTCCTCTAATTTATTATTTTGGAATTCTTACCAGTTTTTTTTTTTTTTTTTTTTTAAATTAAGAAGAAGGTGACCCTTTTTCTTAAGTCCAGTGGTATTAAAACAAACTAGATCCCCATTTTCTCATATTTAGACAATGTTCCTAATGAGGTATGTTGATTTCAGTTTTTTGAGTTCAGTCAAGATACTGACAGATTTTATTACCCCAAACATGGCTATTTTCTTTTTTCCTCAGTAGATATGATAAAAACATGCAGTTATTTCCTACTGTGTAGAATTAATAAACTCTTTTCAGTGACATTGTCCTCATGGCCACATATTTCCAATGTAAAAATACACCTGAATAGTTTTCATCACTCATGCTTTGCTCCATTGTTTTTATATGTTGTTTAATGTTTTCTCCATAGACTGTATCACTTTGCATACAGTCTGCTGATTACTTTGTACTTTCTTTACTTAATCTTCATTATGTCAATGTTCAGCATGAGGAAACCATTGTATTTAAGATACAGGATTAGGATTTTTGTATTTAGGATACAGAAATTATTGATTTTCTGAAAATGGTCAGGAAAGAATATTTCACACTATTTTAAAAGGATGCTTTAAATATTTGCTGAGATAAATTCAAAAGAACAGATTGTGTTTGGATGGAGAAGACAATGGCATTAAATGTTAAAAGCATTAGCCTTTGTGCATCAATCATGTCTATTTCATGAAAGGTTACTCAAAAAGTAAGTATATCAACATGGGAAGCATAGATAGTAAATGCTTGTGAAGTTCAGAAAAAGTGTTGTCAGCCTAGAGGTGGAGTGACATTGGGAATTAATTTTAAGGACACAGTACCTGTAACTGGTCCACAAAGCCATTTTGAATTGAAACAAAGAAGCAGATGAAGCAAGCTTAATGGGAATAGAGGACATGAGAGTGTGCTTGGATTTGAGAATAAATTGGACTTCTTTTTTGCAATCAGCATTGTTAGGCTGCATTGGAGAGTTGTGGAAGAGCTTTTCAGTACAGTTCTGATAATTTACATTGAACATTTTGGGCAATAATTTAAGTGTTACCAGGTTCAGCAAGATTTTTATGATCTGAATAAAGTGAGAAGTTAAAAATGTTTCAAATCCCTGCCTGGGGACACAGAGGAAGATTGCCAGAATAAATGACCACCCCTATATGGGTAAAATTGCTATTTAAGAGTGAAAAATGAAATAAAAAACAAATAACCTGTTTTAATAAGTGTGAAAAGGATGTGAATAGACATTTCTTCAAAGATGATATACAAGTGGCCAGTAACAGGAAAAAATGCTCAACCTCACTCATTATGTGGGAAATGCAAATCAAAACCACTGTGTGATATCCCTTTACATCCATTAGAATGGCTACTAATAAAAAAACAGAATAACAAGTGTTGGCAAGGATATAGAGAAACTGGAATCTTGTGTATTGCTAGTGGGAATGTAACACGGTGTAGTCCTATGGAAAACAGGATGGTGATTTCTCAAAAATTAAACATAAAATTACTATATGATCCAGCAACTCCACTTCTGGGTAGACACCCAGAAGAATTGAAAGCAAGAACCCAAACAGCTGTTTGTACACTCTTGTTCATCGCAGCACTATTCACAATATCCAAAAAGTGGAATTGTCCATTGGCCAATGAATTGGTAAACAAAATGTGGTCCATACATACGATGAAATATTATTCAACCTTAAAAAGGAAGAGGAATTATGAAACATGTTGCAGTGTGGATGAAGCTTATCATGATGCTAAGTGAAATAAGCCAGACACAAAAAATCCAAATGTATCATTCTACCTATATGAGGTACCTTGAGTTCTCAATTCATAGAGACAGAGTAAGACTGTGGCTGCCAGAGCATGAGGGACAGGGGAAAAGGGAAATTGTCTAATGGGTACAGCATTTCAGTTTTGCAAGATGTAAAAGTTTTGGAGATCCATTGCACAACAGGGTGAATACAGGTAGCACTACTGAACTGTACAATACAAAATGGGTAAGATGGTAAATTTAATATTATGCACTTCTGCTACAATAAGAAAAAGTTAACAATAAAGATTAAGTGTCCTTTTCTTAAAAAGAAAGAATGAAAGATGATTTTTTTTTGATAGGACAAGAGTCTGGGATACAGTTTAAGTGACTGAAAGCGAAAAGAAACTACATGTGATGGTCATACTCAGTATTACAATCTGGTAGAAAAAGTAATAGTAAAATTTAGTAACTATTATTTTTATTGAGAACCTGCTGTGTTCTGTTCACTATACTAGTAAAGTGCACAAGATGATCAGGGACTCTTATTCTTGGCAAAAAACAAAACAAAAAACTAAACTAAAAAAAGACATATTTGATAGCATAAAGCCAAAAGTTCTAACAGAGAAGAATTAATTTCAATGGAACAAGGGTGAAACAAATTCTGGGGAACAGCTTGCTTACCCAGTCTTTTAGAATATCTTTCTGGGGATATGGGTATATTCCTAAGTTCAAGAAGAAAAAATAATTGTAGCTTCATGGAGAGTTGGGGCATAGTCATTTTTTCACTGGTTGGCCATGTCAAGATAGGTGAAGCTTTAATAGTTTTCAGAAGGACATACAGGGCCAATGTACTTGGCATTGTTTCTAACAAGTAAGATAAAGCAGGCAGATTGGTGAGGATTCATCTCTGAAAGTTAACGAAGACCTACACACTGAGCCCCCTCCTTCAAGCCTTGGCTGTCCACAGATGTTGCCCTACAGCGCTCTTGTCTGTTTTATCCCCTACTCATCCTACTAGATCTGGGTGTCCAGACCACTTGCATAAGTGGCCTCAGGTGGTTGAAATCTAATCCCCACAGATTAGCAAAGTGATCTTAGCCAATTACATAACCATTATGTGCTTCCTTTTCTTTGTAAAACAGAAACAGGCATCATGGCTACCTCCCGAGGTTATTATGCAGATTAAATGAGTATGTAGGCCATTGCCTGGCACATGCTAAGTGCTATGTAGATAAGTGCTCATCATATAATAAGGGCTCTGTGTTTCTGCTTATTGTCCGCATCATTAGCATCATTATTACATGACTCAGCAATTTCCTTGTGTTCATTGTCAATCAGCTTCATACAGTTTCTCCTCTTTCCTGTTCATTGTGTCTATTTCATCTTCTCTTTCTCCTTTTAGAAGAGGAGTTTGGGCTTGAAATCCCACAAAAGGAGATTTCTAAGAAAGCTTCATTTCAAAAGGATATGGTAGGTGAGTTCACAAGAGATGGTTCATGGTGTTCCATTTTAGAAGAAGTGAGGCTGGATACAGACCGTACAAAGAAAGATAAGCAAAATCAAATTCAGCCCATGAGTCACAGTGCTTTCTTCAACAAGAAAACATTGAACACAGAAAGCAATTGTGAATATAAGGACCCTGGGAAAATGATTCACACGAGGCCCCACCTTGCTTCTTCACAGGAACAACCTCAGAAATGTTGCTTATTTACAAAAAGTTTGAAGCTGAACCTAGAAGTGAGTGGTCAGAATGAAAACAATGACACAAAACAGCTTGATGACGTTGTTGGGTCTGGTCAGCTGTTCAACCATAGCTCCTCCCATGCTTGCAGCAAGAATATCCATACAGGAGAGACATTTTGCAAAGGTAATCAGTGTAGAAAAGTCCGTGGCCATAAACAGTCACTCACGCAACATCAAATTCATACTCAGAAGAAACCAGATGGATGTTCTGAATGTGGGAGGGACTTCACCCCAAAATCACACCTCTTTGCCCAACAGAGAATTCATAGTGTAGGAAACCTCCATGAATGTGGCAGACGTGGAAAAGCCTTCACGCCACAACTAAAACTCAGTGTATATCTGACAGATCATACAGGTGATATACCCTATATATGCAAGGAATGTGGGAAGGTCTTTATTCAGAGATCAGAATTGGTTACGCACCAGAAAACACACACTAGAAAGAAGCCCTATGAATGCCATGACTGTGGAAAAGCCTTTTTCCAGATGTTATCTCTCTTCAGACATCAGAGAACTCACAGTAGAGAAAAACTCTATGAATGCAGTGAATGTGGCAAAGGCTTCTCCCAAAACTCAACCCTCATTATACATCAGAAAATTCATACTGGTGAGAGACAGTATGCATGCAGCGAATGTGGGAAAGCCTTTACCCAGAAGTCAACACTCAGCTTGCACCAGAGAATCCACTCAGGGCAGAAGTCCTATGTGTGTATCGAATGCGGGCAGGCCTTCATCCAGAAGGCACACCTGATTGTCCATCAAAGAAGCCACACAGGAGAAAAACCTTATCAGTGCCACAACTGTGGGAAATCCTTCATTTCCAAGTCACAGCTTGATATACATCATCGAATTCATACAGGGGAGAAACCTTATGAATGCAGTGACTGTGGAAAAACCTTCACCCAAAAGTCACACCTGAATATACACCAGAAAATTCATACTGGAGAAAGACACCATGTATGCGGTGAATGTGGGAAAGCCTTCAACCAGAAGTCAATACTCAGCATGCATCAGAGAATCCACACCGGAGAGAAGCCTTACAAATGCAGTGAATGTGGGAAAGCCTTCACTTCGAAGTCTCAATTCAAAGAGCATCAGCGAATTCACACGGGTGAGAAACCCTATGTGTGCACTGAATGTGGGAAGGCCTTCAACGGCAGGTCAAATTTCCATAAACATCAGGTGACACACACTAGAGAGAGGCCTTTTGTCTGTTCCAAATGTGGGAAGGCTTTTGTCCAGAAATCAGAGTTGATTACCCATCAAAGAACTCACATGGGAGAGAAACCTTATGAATGCCTCGACTGTGGGAAATCGTTCAGTAAGAAACCACAACTCAAGGTGCATCAGCGAATTCACACGGGAGAAAGACCTTATGTGTGTTCTGAATGTGGAAAGGCCTTCAACAACAGGTCAAACTTCAATAAACACCAAACAACTCATACCAGAGACAAATCTTACAAATGCAGTTATTCTGTGAAAGGCTTTACCAAGCAATGAAATCCTAGTGCATCAGCATATTCATAAATGAAATACACTCCCTGAGTTTCTTGAAGAAGAGAAAATCTCAGAATCAGGTCTAATTGTATGTTATTGAATTCATGCTTCAATAAACTCTAGGGATGCACTGCATGAAGGGGGCCGGCCCCTCCACACCTGTGGGTATTTCTCATCAGATGGGACGAGAGACTGAGAAAAGAAATAAGACACAGAGACAAAGTATAGAGAAAGAAAGATGGGCCCAGGGGACCGGCGCTCAGCATACGGAGGACCCGCGCCGGCGCTGGTCTCTGAGTTCCCTCAGTATTTACTGATCACTATCTCTACCATCTCGGAGATGGGGATGTGGCAGGACTATAGGGTAATGGTGGGGAGAGGGTCAGCAGGAAAACATGTGAGCAAAGATCTCTGTTATAAATACATTTAAGGAAAGGTGCTGTGCCTTGATGTGCACGTAGGCCAGATTTATATTTGACTTGACACAAACATCTCAGTGCACTGAAGAGCAGTATTGCCGCCAGGATGTCTCACCTCCAGCCATAAGGCAGTTTTCTCCTATCTCAGTAAATAGAACGTATGATCAGGATTTACACCAAGACATTCTATTCCCAGGTACAAGCAGGAGACAGATGCCTTCCTCTTTTACTAATTCTCCTGAGCACAGACCCTTTACGGGTGTCGTGCTGGGGGACGGGCAGGTCTTTCTCTTCCCAAGAGGCCATATCTCAGGCTATCACATGGGGAGAAACCTTGGACAATACCCGACTTTCCTGGGCAGAGGTCCCTGCCGCTTTCCACAGTGCATTGTGTCCCTGGGTACTCAAGGATAGAGAATGGCGATGAGTTTTACCAAGCATACTGCCTTCAAACACACTTTTAACAAAGCTCATCCTGCACAGCCCTAAATCCATTAAACCTTGAGTCAACACAGCACATGTCTGTGCAAGCACAGGGTTGGGGCTAGGATTACAGATTAACAGCATCTCAAGGCAGAAGAATTTCTCTTAGTATAGAACAAAATGGAGTTTCTTATGTCTACTTCTTTCTACATAGACACAGTAACAGTCTGATCTCTCTTTCTTTTCCCCACACTGCATGTGTGAACACATGGCAAAGTCATGCTTTATTTTATGTGAGGGCAATTACTGAGAAAAGAGTAAGCAGAAATATCCTTCCCTTAGTACTGGCCTCATTAAGGATTATAAATTTTCACCCTGGGAAGAAACCCTGACTAATGCATTGAGAAAAGCCTTTCTGTAAAGAATGGTACAAGACAGGTTGTTACCCAATTATTTATAGTAAAGTTTGTGGGAAATTATATCAATGATAACCCTGTTTGTTTTGGGATATATTTCTAAAGTGCCAATACAGTAATGATAGGACAATATTATGTGTATGTGTGTGTGCCTTATGTATATAAGCATATGTATTATATGCAGGTTTAATATCCCTTCCCCAAAGTGCCTGGGATCAGAAGCATTTTGGATTTCAGATACTTAACAGATTTTGGAATATTTGCATTATATTTATTGGTTGAGCATCCCTAATCTGAAAATCCAAGGTGAAATGCTCCAGTTAGCATTTCCTTTGAGCGTCATGTTAGAGTTCAGAAAGTTTCAGATTTTGGGTTTTCAGACTAGGGATACCCAACCTGTATGTACATATATTTAGGTATCTATGTATGTATATGTATGCATATGCAGACATATGTATATGGTCTGGTCAGCATATGTGTATGTATGCGTACGTAGGTATGTATGCCCTCAGTGCAATGGGTTTGCAGCAGAATTCACTGCACAGCATTAGGTGTAGGTAGATTACAGTTATTTTTTAAGAGAATCTAATTTAATTGTTTTTATAAAAATTATTCCCTGTTGAATATGTCATGAGGTTGTATCAACAATGATTAACTCCTTTATTATACATACACATGAATGTACATTTTTAGTAAATGCATAAATGAGATTCTATAATGTTTACTGATCTTTATATTATAGCTTTTCTCTTCTTTCAGGATTAGCTCAGCTTGCCCCTCCCTTTCCATCTCCACCATCTATAGTGAGCCTCTCCATAATCAGTGCCAACCATTAGTCTGGTTCAAGTTTCTGCATAGATAATCAGTGCCAACCATTAGTCTCGTTCATATTTTTACACAGGCCCCTAAACATACACACCAGGAGTCAACAAACTGTGGCCAATGGCCAAATATGGCCTCCCAGCTGTTTTTTTAAAATAAAGTTTTATTGGAACACAGCCATGTTCATTTAGACATGTATTGTCTGGGCTTCTTTCATGCTCCACTGGCAGAGTTGAGTAGTTTTGGTGGAGATCAAATGGCCCCCAAGCTGGAAACTGAAAATATTTACTCTCTGGCTCTTTACAGAAAATGTTTGCCAACACATCACACACACACACACACACACACATTACTATGCTCATAATCATATACCCGTGTAAGGACCCTTTCCTTGATTTATAAAACTCAGATCTCTTACGTGTGTGGATGGTATTTTTTTCATTCTACAATCCATGATGGGTTGCACACACATGTATTCTATGAGGTTGACCTGTCATAATTTATTGAGCCATTCCCACAGTTTTGATTACTTATTTCCCCCACACACACGTTTTTTGCTAAAAAAGGGAGAGGGGACTGTTATAAATACTTCTGAGACGCAGACCAGCATAATCTTTTAAGTGCACAGGCCCAGGAGCCAGGTTCCTGCATTTGATTCCTGGCTCCACTCTCTACCCTCTGCATCTGCTGAGCAAGTTATTTGGTATCATCTATTCTCGTTTTCTCATCTACAAAAGGGAGATTATGCTAGTACCCTACACCCATGCATTTGGTGTGAGAAGTGGGTGTGTGTTAAACCCTTGGAACTGCATGGACAGACCAAGTATCACTGAGCCTGCCTGGCTCCCTTGTGCTGGGTGTGGGACTGTGGTGGGAGATTGCAGTCAGCTGGAAGTCTTTTCCAGAAGGGTGTTAGAGATGGGCACCCATGGCTTTAGTCTCCATACTCCTTCAAGGTTGATAGGGGCCCACACAGCTGGTCAGGAGCCGGCACAGGCCTGAGGCTGTGTCTAGAACAAGGTGATTTCACATGCAGGAGCCTGTGCTGGGCCCTGGAGAGCAAATCTGTTCTGTGTCTCACTGGCCTCTCCCTGTCCAGGGGCGTACTATCAGTGACCATGTCCCACCTCCTGAGAAAGGTGGAAGAGTCTCACCTGGGGAGTCCAGGCACAAGGGCTGGCCAGCCGTAGATATGACTGGTGTGGGGTGGAAAGGCCTCAGAGGGCTCTCCATGGTGGTGAGAGGGGATATAGTGTACACCTGGGTCCTGGGAGTGGCACCCTATTCAGTTTCAGGGAGGAAGGTGGCAGGGCCCTAGGACAGGTGTGCTAAAAACTTGAGCCCACAGTGTAGATACACTGGTTCCAAAGACCCTCAGGATGTGCCTCCCTTCTCAGATCTGGGCTTTCCCTGTTCCTAAGCATCACCTGGGGGGACCACTCTGGGAGCCTAATCTCCAGGTACATATTCACTCCTCACATGGCACTCCCTATTCCCCTCAGGGCAAGCCCTTCCTCCCCACTTCCAGAAAGCTGTTCCTTTCCTGGCCATCCTGCACCTCTGACCTCGTGCCTCTTCCAGGGCCCACTGTCTTTAACACCTTTGTTTCCTCCCTATCCCCAACCCCCTCTGTCTAGAGTGCTCACCTCCCTCCCAGCCTCTGTCTCATATCATTTTTCCTTTCCTCTCAGTACCAAGCACTGGGACAAGCTAGTCAGTCAGTACTCAATGCCTGTTGGGTAACAGACGGAGGAATCTGGAGTTTGGTTGGGTGATCAGCTTTGAAACTGATGGGTCCCAGGGAGCCGTCTAAAGTTTTCAGTCACATGAGGGCATGCTCACAGATCTGTGAAAAGATCCGTTGGCTCAGAGAACTAAGAGATGAATGTTAGTCCAACGGCCTCATCGTGAGATGAGGGGTCGAGAGTTTTGAATTTCCAGAGGGAGAAGCTACTATTCTAGGCAGCTTATATGAACTCGTTTTTCCTCACAGCCATTGTTGGATATAATCTACCCTCAAAAGCCGCATTTTTGAGACGAGGAAACTGAGGCCTAGAGAAACTGAGGCTTCTGATGTAAACTCAAGACCGAAAATCTAGTAATGAGAAAAGCCAGGATTTGAACCAAGCTATCTGATGCTGGCATCTTAACTCTTAACCATTGTACTACCTTACCTCCCCATGACCTTTTTTTTTTTTTTTTTTTTTTTTTTTTTTTTTCCCCGAGACGGAGTCTGGCTCTGTTATCCAAGCTGCAGTGGCAAGATCTCGGGCTCACAGCAAGCTCTGCCTCCCGGGTTCATGCCAGTCTCCTGCCTCAGCCTCCTGTGTAGCTGGGAATACAGGCGCCCGCCACCACGCCTGGCTAATATTTTGTATTTTTATTAGCCAGGATGGTCTCGATCTCCTGACCTCGTGATCCACCCGCCTCAGCCTCCCAAAGTACCCACGACCTTTTTATTGTTGGGCAGTGAAAGCCGTGGTGAAATGAAGAATGTCATACTGTCACGTGATGTGATCAGAAAACATGCCGCCCGGAGTCCCCTCCTCGCACCCCCCAAACCAGTACTTGGTCCATCCTTTGACTGTTGTGGGGATTAGCACAAAGGTTGGGCACAGTAGCAGTTAGGCTCACTGGCTCTGGAGCCAGCCTGCCTGGATGCTGCACATCTCAGCTCTGCCTCTCGCTAGTTTGGTGGCAAGCGACTTAACCTCTCTGCCTTAATTTCTTCAGCGGGACAGTGGGAATAATAATAGATCTCACCTTGTGGATCCTTTGCAGATGACATGCATTAATTATGTAAAGTGGGCTGTCCACCGTGAGTACAACACAAATGCTTGTTCTTAACGATTCAACAAACATGGAATTTCATTAAATCTGATATAAAGGTATGTTGAGGAATTGAATTCTGTTATTCAGTGTGAAGTCCTGATCCAGACTCACCTCGTGCACACTATTTACCATAAAATTGTAGTCCCTATTTTAAGTGCATTCACTTAAAGAGACCTTTCCCTGTACTAATTAATGTCTGTTAAGAAGGACCTTCTGGACATAGTTGAAAGAAAAAAGCAGGGATGGGGAGGAGGATGAGGAGAAGGAAAGGAGGGAGGGGAAAGAAAATGGATGGATGGAGGAATGGATGGAATTAGGGATGGCAGAAAGAAGATAAAATAAACTCTAATAAGAAACCAGGTGGGGTGAGTGGGAAGGCCTCCCTGTGACCTTGGTCTCAGGGGCTCTGTTTTGGCTTCCAGATAAGATACCCCTTAGCTTGGCACTGGGTCTCCTGGGCCTTGGAAGTTGATATCCACAGTGAGGTTGGTGTAGAGGGGCTGCCGCTCCTTGGAGAGCAGCCTGTAGCCCAGAGTTGATGCCATCATGTCACCACCTTAGGTGGATCCGGGACAGAAGGCGAGGCCTGGAGGATGGGGAGGGGCAGCCGTGTGAGCCCAGGCCTCAGGGAGGACCCAGAACCAGCCACCCCACTTCCCACACTGACCTCCAGGGCCTCTGCTTGTGGCCAGGTGCTGGCGGCAATACTGCTCTTTACCGCACTGAGATGTTTGTGTCAAGTCAAACATAAATCTGGCCTACGTGCACATCCAGCACCCTTCCTTAAACTTATTTATGACGCAGAGTCCTTTGCTCATATGTTTTCCTGCTGACCCTCTCCCCACCATTACCCTATAGTCCAGCCACATCCCCCTCTCTGAGATAGTGATCAATACTGAGGGAACTCACGGACCAGTGCCCGCGCGGGTCCTCCATATGCTGAGTGCCGGTCCCCTGCGCCCACTGTTCGTTCTTTATACTTTCTCTGTGTCCTATTTCTTTTCTCAGTCTCTCGTCCCACCTGACGAGAAATACATACGCTGAGTGCCAGTCCCCTGGGCCCACTGTTCGTTCTTTATACTTTCTCTGCGGCGTACGGCTCCCAGAATGCACTAGGCGGGTCCGGCCCACTCCCCGTCTGCGCCTGCGCCTGCGCCTGCGCAATCACAAGGGCTGTGCCCAAATTCTCTGCCTGCTGCCGTGCACTGCTGTCAGTGCAAAGATAGGATGGGCTTTTTTTCTTCTTCAGATTTTCTGCTGTTGTGGGAGTATGGCAAGAGTTTGAGGGGGCGGAGAAGGGGACTGGGAATGTGAAAAGGTCCGGACTTATCATTGCAATTTGGCTCCACCCACTGGGAGAGTGACAACTGTAGTGAGAGAAAGGGCAGTCCTGGACCCCAAAGCTTCTGGCCTGAGCAGCTGGAAGGGATGGAGCTGCCCTGTACTCCAGGAGAAGCCCGTTAGGTTAGAGGAATGAGGAAGTTGGGTTTTGACATGCCTATTAGACATCTGAGCGGCACTGGTCTCTACTTTCATGGAAGTTAGAGATGGTAAATACACAGTCACATGAAATAATTCCACACATTGTGGTAAATCCTAGAAGCAGCGTGACCTGCTCTGAATGGCAGGAGGTGACAGCAGTAGTCCAGGCTGGAGGTGGTGATGGCTTGAGGATGGAGACTGAGCCTGGGAAGTTTATATGGTTTCACCAGACAAGTGGGACCAAGGAGGTTTGACTGGACAGTTAAAGTCTTGGCTGGCTGGGGAGGGATGAAGTAGGAAAGAGAACAGATGGGGGCCAAGGATGAGTCAACCCCATCGCTGACCCCTCCCCTCCCAACCTGTGTCTTTATGGGGCCACAGAAGCTTAGGTGGATTCTGATACCAGAGCAGGGTTAAGTTCAGAACTGGAGGCCCACACACCCTCACCTCCAAAATAGGTGCAACCCCTGCTAGTCTCCCTAGAGGTGTGACCCAGCCTGCCTGTGTGTGTCCTTGTAAGACACAATCAGGACCCATTCCTGGAGACAGTCTGCCCACCCCCTACCCCCGAAAGTGAAATCCAGTTGTTCTTTTCTTCTTTTGAGACGGAGTCTCGCTCTGTCGCCCAGACTGGAGTGCACTGGCGCGATCTCGGCTCACTGCAAGCTCCGCCTCCCGGGTTCACACCATTTTCCTGCCTCAACCTCCCGAGTAGCTGGGACTACAGGCGCCCGCCACCACGCCCGGCTAATTTTTTTTATTTTTAGTAGAGACGGGGTTTCAACGTGTTAGCCAGGATGGTCTCGATCTCCTGAACTCGTGATCCACCCGCCTCCGCCTCCCAAAGTGCTAGGATTACAGGCGTGAGCCACCGTGCCCGGCCCCAGTTGGTCTTTTCTGTGTAGCCCCCTTCCCTTGAACAGAGCATGGCCTCCCTCTGTCCTTAAGAGTCTCTGACCCCTCCCCTCACAACCTCTCTGAATAGTCAATAATATTTACCTTCTGATCAGGGCTGTAACATGGGTGGCCTCCCTGGAAGTTGTTACAACTGGTCCTTAATAGACACCCTCACCCCTTTGGATAGCACACAATCTAATTCTGGGTATAACCTGTTTGCTACTCCCTCTCTTCCCCCTGAAATGAGCTTAAGTTCCTATTCTTCTTGGTGCATAATGGGTGCACTCCAGGAAGGCTTCCTGGAGGCAGTGGCCTTACGCCAGAACCCGTTTATAACCCATGTATATAGGAGCAGCCTGCGCACAGCTGCCCCTAGTCTATTCAGGCAGGGGTGCTATCTAGGGAACTCCTCAAAGGCAATGACACACGTGTAACCCGCCTCCTCTCCCGGTCCCGGAGAAGCTGGCCCTTCCTGCAACGCCCGCCCCTTCATGTACCTCCTGCCACGCGGCACGCGCAGCCCTCCTCGGGACGAGCGCTGTGCAGTGCCTCCTTCTGCGCCGCCTTCTAGGCCGAGGTGCTGCACACGGTGCTCGCGGGCCGCCTGCTGCCGCCCGGCGCGGTGGTGGCCGTGGGCGCCTCGTATGGCAAGGACTCCACAGTGGTGGCGCACGTGCTGCGCGCTGGCGCCGCGCCTGGGCATCTCACTGCAGCTCGTGGCCTTCGACGAGGGCATCGGCGGCTACCGGGAAGCGGCGCTGACGGCCGTGCGGCGCCAGGCGGCGCGCTGGGAGCTGTCGCTCACCGTTGTGGCCTACGAAGACCTCTTCGGAGCTGGACGGTGGACCCCGTAGGCCGCAGCACAACCAACTCCAGCCGCAGCCGCTCCTGCTGCACCTTCTGTGGGGTACTGCAGCGCCGGGCGCTGGAGGAAGGGGGGCGCCACGTGGGAGCCACTCACACACTGACCGCTGAGAACAAGGGCGGCCGCAGTTCTGCGTGATAGAGGGAGTGGGGAGCATGCGCAGGCAATGGGCGGTTCCTGAAAGGGGACTGGTGCGCATGCTCCAGAAGTGGGCGAGGAGACCCTGGGAATGGCTTAGCGGGAGGATCTCAGTGAGGCGCTGGGGAAATACACATGTGCCTATTTGGGGCCGGAGCCTGCTGAAGGCTCATGTGGGTAGTACGTGTGCCTCCCTAGGATGGAGTAAGGCAGGTTTTTCAAGCCTCTGGGTCTCTGCCATCATCTTAGTACACACATGGGCAAATAGAGGGGTAGAGAGGCTACCCTGTAGGAGCTAAGGCTAGAGTACTCTGCTATTATTATTATTGTTATTATTTTGAGATAGAGTCTCGCTCTGTTGCCCAGGCTGGAGTGCAGTGGTGCAATCTAGGCTCACTGCAACCTAGGCCCCCCCGGATTCAAGCGATTCTCCTGCCTCAGTCTCCTAAGTAGCTGGGATTACAGGTGCCTGCCACTACGCCTGGGTAATTTTTGTATTTTTAGTAGAGGGAAATGACTTTCTTTGTATCTCCCTTTACAAAGAGAGAGATGTGAAGAGGCGTCTCCCATCGTAAGCCATACAGTCTGAAACGCTACGGTGTCTCTTAACTCCTTTTCTTTATAGGTTTCTCTCCGACAACTCTTATTTTTTCCTAATGATTACTTTAATAAGTAATTATCGTCCATTGACTAAATACCAGATACAAGCTGTGTAGCCTAGAGCAGATTACCTAACCTCCATTTCATCTTTTTTAAAATGGGGATGTTAATAATATCTGGGTCCTTGAGTTGGAAAGTACTTGAGTTATATATAAGGCACTTAGACTAGAGGCTGAAAAACAGTAAACATGATGTAAATGTTTACTGTTACGACGATGCACAAGAGCACAATACAGTCTGTACTCCTGCCTGATTTTCACGTATGTAATTATCACCTGACAAGTGCTACGACGGAAAATTACACAGAACATGTGAATTTATGTCAGGGGATCCTAGTGACGGGGAAAAGGTGGGGATTAAAGAAATCTTTCCTGCGTGAACCAAGACCAGAAGGCTCAGTGAATAACCAGGTGAAGGATGAGTTGGAGTTTGGGGGAGCGGTGTTCTGAGCTGAGGACACAGAGAGGCAAAGGCCTTGAGGAGGGGAAGTATGACCAACTTGAGAAGCCCTAAGAAGAACAGCATTTTAATATACAGAGTCAAGTATAAGATGACGAGATGCAGAATAAACATGGTTTCCATTTACATTGTATGGCGACTGGTGTGTTTGTATGCACTTTCTTTCCGGTCTTTCTAAACCTCGTGATCTGTATTCCCAGAGGCACTTGTGTCTACAGCTCTCTTGAGAATCCCCATTAGATGGTCCTTTTTTCTCCTGTGTAGTCTGAAATACAGTTTTAAGTGAGGCTGAAATGGTTTGCAGCTTAAAGCATTTTTACCCGCTATGTGGAAGGAGAGCTAGTGAAGGGCCTGGTGTACAGTAGGTGGATGGCAAATGAGGGCTCCCCCAAGGAACTTGTTTGTGTTCCCTTCAGGTTTTCTGTCCAACTCTAGTCTCCATCTGGCTGCTCCATGGTGCCCGGGAGTCTCCATGGTCCGGTTTCCCCATCAGTGTCTCTTCCCCCTCCCCCTGCCCCTCTCTGTCTTGAGTCCTGGCGGCCCCGCTGTGCCCTGGGTTTCTATGGTCCGCGCTCCTCTCTCCGTCTCTCTCCGGGTCCTGGCGGCCCCACTGTGCCCTGGGTCTCCCCTCCCCGTCTCTCTCTGGGTCCTGGTTGCCCACAGTGCCCCAGGGGTCTCCATGGCTCTGTCTCCCCCTCCCTGTCTCTGGATCCTGGCTGTTGCACGTTGTTCGGGGGTCTCCATGGCTCGCTCTCCCCGTCGCCGTCTCTCTCTGGGACCTGGAGGCCCCACTATGCTCTGGGTCTCCGTGGGTCTCTCCTCCCAGTCTCTTTCTGGGTCCTGGTGGACCCTTGGTTCCTCGGGGGGCTCCCTGGCCAGCAGCGCCCTCCGCGCCCCACCTCACCGGCTCCCGTCTCTCCCCAGCAGGTCACAACGCCGACGACATGGCGGAGACCTTGCTCATGAATTTCCTGAGAGGCGACGCGGGGCGGCTGGCCCCGGGCGGGGGCCTGGGCTCTCCGGACTAGGGGGGCGCCCTGCCGCGCTGCCGCCAGCTGCAGTTCGCCTCGCAGAAGGAGGTGGTGCTGTACGCGCACTTCGCCGCCTCGACTACTTCTCCGAGGAGTGCGTTTACGCGCCTGAGGCCTTCCGCGGCCACTCCCGGGACCCGCTCAAGCGCCTGGAGGCTGCGCGGCCGTCGGCGGTGCTGGACCTCGTGCACTCGGCCGAGCGCCTGGCGCTGGCCCCGGCCGCGCGGCCCCCGCGCCCTGGCGCCTGCTCCCGCTGTGGGGCCCTGGCCAGTTGCGCGCTCTGCCAGGCCTGCGCGCTCCCGGCCATCGGCAAGGGCCGCCGGGGGCTGGACAAGGAGGCGACGCCGGGGACACCCGGGGATCCGGCCCGGGCCCCCACCTCCGAGACTGTCCCCACCTTCTAGCGACTCCGGGCCTCCCGCCGGAATCCGACGCCCCCGGGTGGGGGCTACCTGTAAATGACACTGTGAATAAACCTGTTACCTTACCGGGCCTTCCATGTGAGGTGGGAGGGGGATGGGGGCCTAGTAACCTGAAACCCTGAAGAAGCTAGGACCCCAGACTTCGGGGTTTCAGGGAGGAAGGGTCTTGAGCTGGGCTTCTGACTCTGAGGGAGGAGGGGGCTGGGGGACCATCCTGGGTCTGAGAGAGGAAAGGGCCAGGACTAGGGCTAGAGGAAGTGGGACTGGAGACCCCAGGCATCTGTGGCTGAAGGAGGGCCTGGGGTCGTGGACTCCTGGGTGTCAGGGAGGAGGGGGCTGAACACCTTGTGATTCCTGAGCGAGTGGGGGTTGGTTGGGGACCTCCTGCCCAGTGCCTCTGCTGGTTCTGGGTGCGCTCAGCATGGTCCTGACCCTCCTTGAGCACCAGATTCCTGATGTTTCCTGTTTGCCCGCAGTGGGGTAAGCGGAGTGACATTACCTGATGGACACACGCCATTCACAGCCCCCGTCACGATGCCTCCCTTCCAGCGCTTCGTGTACAGGACGCGCTGCACCCTCTCATTTCGTCTCCACCACGGCCTCACTGGCTGTAGCCTGAGCCTCAGTAACTGACCTGGGGGCTCCCACCAGGTTGGCCTGGCTCCAGAGCTCTCAGAGATTTTGGGATTGCCTTTCCCCCATGCTATCCTATCCTCATCCATCACGACCCGAATCTCTCTTGCCCTCTCTTGTCATAGGTAAGGAGGGGCTGGTGGGCTTTGCAGACCTCTCAAGTTCTGAAGGCAGAGCTGCGTGAGCCTGAGTCGCGTCTTAACTTTTCTGACCTTCCATTTCCTCCTCTGAAAATAGAAGCAACCTCCCTCTACACTCCCCCGACATCAGGGTACTCTTGGGAGGATTCAGTAACTTGGTCGTTCATATTAAGGTTTGGCCACCAGGGGGCTTTTGCTTTCAGGATTGCTGCTCAACTGGTCCTGGAAGGAGTGAGGCCCAGAAACTTCCTGCCTGACCTGTGGGAGATTTGGTGTTCTCAGTCCCACCTCCGAGCTTTGCTGACTTGCCTCCCTAGTCAGGAATGCCTTCCCTTTCCCATCTGCCTGCTCAAACCCTCCAGGGTCCTTGTAGAAAGAGGACCTTCCTGATTCTCCCCTCCCACCCAGTCCAGGGCATACGGCTCTCCGAAACCCTACCACGTAGGTCCTCCACCCATAGGTCCTATCCTGATTCTGTGGCCTTCCAACCGTTTTGGGTTATGCTCTCCCTAACTAGACTGATCATTAAGGGCAAAGACCAGACCTGTCTCCCCACTGGACAATACAGCATTATTCATCCAAGAAACATTTATTGAGCACATAATGTGTGCAGGGGCTGTTCTAGGCACTGGTGAGAGAAAAAAGACCGAATCTTTCATGGAGCTTACAGCCTTGTGGGAAAGACACCTATATAATGTCAGATAATTAGTGCTGTGGATACGAAATCACATAAAGGGAAAAGGTGTAAAGAGGTGTTATTTTAGTTGTTATTTTAGTTTGAAAGGCCAAGACCTCTTTGAGAAGGTGACTTTGGGGGCAGAGATCAAATAAAGCAAGTGAGGTTTCTGGCCATGATAGAGTAGCTAATGTCAGAAAAACACCCACACTGAGACTGAGACCAACTGGAAAAACAGGACACACACACACACACACACACACAAAACAATCTGAAGACATTGGAGAGCTACCAAGTTGGCCAGGATCCAAGAGAAAAGGGAAGCTTATTCTCCTGGAGTGGCCAAAAGGCTAAGGAAGCAAGCAGAAAGCAGAGGCTTAAGAGGATGGGAATCTGAATTGAGCTTTCAGTAGTGTTATGGCTGGGGGTGGAGAAAGAAATCATGGTGGCCAGGTGCAGTGCTTTATGCCTATAATCCCAGCACTTTAGGGGGGTCAATATGAGAGGATCACTTGAGCCCAGGAATTTGAGGCCAGCCGGGGCAACATACAGAGACCCTGTCTCTACAAAAAAAAAAAAAAAGATTAATAAAATTAAATAAATACAAATAGATCATGGAGCCTGGTGCTACCAGACTTGAGGGACCAAAACCCTGGAAGGAAGGGAAGATCATTGAGGTGAGCCCAACATACCTAAACTCTCCTCTTAGGAGTCTGATGGAACTGGGAAACCAAATTTGATGTTCCAGGTCTGATAAGGAGAGGCCCAGTAAACACCCCAAACCTTCTGTTAGGACTCAAGAAGGGTTACAGATTAAAAGTAAGGGTTGGCCAGGCGCAGTGGCTCACACCTGTAATCCCAGCACTTTGGGAGGCCAAGGTGGGTGGATCACGAGGTCAGGAGATTGAGACCATCCTGGTTGACATGGTGAAACCCCGTCTCTACTAAAAATACAAAAAAGTATCCGGGCATGGTGGCAGGCACCTGTAGTTCCAGCTACTCAGGAGGCTCAGGCCAGAGAATGGCGTGAACCCAGGGGGCGGAGCTTGCAGTGAACAGAGATCTCACCACTGCATTCCAGCCTGGGCAATAGAGTGAGACTCCGTCTCAAAAAAAAAAAAAAAAAAAAAAAAAAAAAAAAGGAAGGGTCAAGTGGGAGTAGACCTGCCCACAAAAAGACCAAAACCCATCTTCAAACTCACTCAACCTGGGGCTGGCTTAAGGGATCTGTATCTATTTTACTTGCTAGAAAGCAAAAGTAGGGTAGCCCTAGCCACATGAGCCGATTTACCTTTAAATTAATTAAAATAAAATTAGGGATTAAATCCTCAGTCACTCTAAATACCTGTCAAGTGCTCAGGACCACCATATTGAACAATGCAGACACAATACTTCCATCGTCACGAAAGTTCCTTTGCACAGTGCTGTTCTAGACTGTCCTAGAATCCAGAGGAGGAAAATTTCAGTCAGAGTTCCAAAAAATCTCTGCAGTTTTTCAAACAAAATACTGGAAATTCAACTAAAAATGAAAAAGTTTACAAGAATACCAGGAGATATGACAAAATAGTTGAATACCGAGAGGCTGGACATCAAGCACAGAGGTATGATATGAGTTTTAGGTATGGACTTTAATTGTCATCACGTGAAAATAGATGCTAAAATGGAGAGTTTCAGCATTGTATTGGATTACATTTTAAAAAGAACCATTAAAACTGTGAATGTGATGAATAATAATAAAGAACCAGGCAGAATGGAGTAGCTAGTAGCAGACTTACCCTCCTGCTGTAAACAACTATAAAATAGCATAATGTATTAGACAATTTTCCCTGCTTTGCTCCACATGCAGGCCGGCTTCCCAATTGCCAGCCCTGGAGATGACCCACACCTGCCTCAAGTATACCACCACCTGCTTGCCTGTGTGCTTACAGAGGCAGTAGCTACATAGGCAACAGTTTTCCATAGAACTTTCTGAGATCCCCCTTAGGGGTCCCATGGTAACAGTGGACATACTTGGCTTTTCATACATCCCTGCAAGCCCTATCTTGCCCACTCATACATGTTCTTCAATTGAGCTGCTTAATGATGCTCTCATGATCATCCTGCCTTCTCCAAAGCATCACTTTCCAGCTCTACCACATTTGCGTTAAGTTCTAGGTCCTCTAGCAAGCCCTTTATTCTCATAAAACTCTTGGTGGCTGTTTCCCTGGCCACACTCTTGTCTGGTGCAGTGATGAAAATCTATAGAGATAATTTTAAACTCTGAGTCACTTTATCATTCTTCAGGGCATATTTACTCTTGCTTGTGGCAAGCAGACCACTTCGATTTGATCAGATATTGAGGAAATTTGGTCTGGCTTTAATCCTTGTGAGGTATCATCTAGTTCCAGCTCATCCTTACTCTACAAGGTCCCAACCAGAGCACTGCAGTGTTTGCCACAGCCCTTTTTCCTTGGCAAGCCCTCAGCCATAACTTTTATCATTCTATCTCCGTGAGACTCAAACGTTCTACTTCGCTTTTCAGACTCTGTTTGGAATCAGCAACCTACTTCATCTGAAGGGTTTGGTTGTGGAAGGCATGAAGGACCCTGAGCTGAGAGCAGAGGACCCAGCTCAGGGGCTGATGCAGAGGCCACTCGTGATACCATACCCTCCCAGTCTGTGCCCCAGGTCCTCCCTCTCCCCAAAAGTGCTGATGCAGACACCTGACATTCACATCCTAGGTATCCTGGAATCTGGGTGCAAGGGGGCTCTGACTTCACCATGTCAGAGCCTGCTGAGGATATAGGACACCCAAGAACTGTTACTGGCAATGGGTTGCCCTGAGACACACCTCCCTCCACCCACCCGCACACACTTATTGTGGTTGTGATGATCAGAAGAGCTTGCACCTTACACTTTCCTCACTCCAGGATCCCCAGATGGACTCAGATCCAGTTCGTGGCTATTGGTTCTGGAAAGCGGCCATCCTCACCTGGATGCTCCAGTACCAAACATAACAGAGTCTAAAATGTGAAAGAAGAAGGCAATGGCAAATCTACCTTCTCTGAGGCCTCCAAACTTGCAATCGGCCCCCAAGCATGAGAGGTGCCCAGATGTGCGACACAGGAACACGTAAGCTCTCTGTGGGTAGAGCAGTACTCTACCTTTCACATTTAGAGGTTATGTTTTCTATTTGTGACAATATCTCACAAAAGTCTTCTCTTCACGAGGGAAACATGTCATGCTCCTCTCCTTCTTGGCATCTATGTTGCTCAGTGAAGGTCCCCAAGGAGGTGGAATCAGCCTACGGTTCTTGGTGCCTCCTCTGCAGCTTTTGACCTGTTCTATTTGTGGAAATAGGAGGATCATGGAAATAGAAATGTTGACCTCTTCCACAAACCAAAAGGCATAGGCTCTTCTGGAGTAAGCACAAAAATTTCAAGATGAGAGAAGGTCAAAGCATGAGGATACAGAGGTACTTTGTCCTGTACTACATCTTCAAATCTCAGACCTGCAGCTTCTATCCTGCATATTTCTCCAAGCTGTACCCCAAAATGAAGACTAAGAACCTTCTCTGAAGTCATATTTCCTGCAGTACTCTTGCCCCTGCACACGCACAGCAGGGGTAACAGCCGCA